TGTAGTAAGCACCTGAAGCAGAATCTGAACTCAGGTCCTCTTGCCAATATGCCACTATGCTAATTAGACAGTTCAAGGAACATTGAATGCCAGGTGGAAGCTTTTGGACTCATTCAGGGCTGGAGCAACCTCCTGCCTTGGAGCAGGAGTCAGTATTCCTTCCAGTTGTTAAACAAAGGTTTTAGATAGATGAGTGGGTGGATAAGTGGATGGATGGATAGATAAATGGATGGATGGATGGATAGACAGACAGACAGACAGACAGACAGATAGATAGATAGATAGATAGATAGATAGATAGATAGATAGATAGATAGATAGATGGATAGATAGATAAATGGATGGATGGATGGATGGATGGATGGATGGATATGGATGGATGGATGGATGGATGGATGGATGCATAAATGGATGGATGGATAGATAGATGAATAGATGGATAAATGGATGGATGGATAGATAGATAAATAGATAGGTGGATAGATAGATAAATAGATAGGTGGATGGATGGATGGATAGATAGATAGATAGATAGATAGATAGATAGATAGATAGATAGATGGATGGAATAGATGGATGGATAGGTAGATGATAGGTAGATGGATAGATAGATGGATGGATGGATGGATAGATAAATAGGTAGATGGATGGATAGATAGATAGATAGATAGATAGATAGATAGATAGATAGATAGATGGATGGATAGGTGGGTGGATAAGGTGGATAGAAAGGTAGATGGATAAATTGATGAATAATTAAATGGATAGATGAATGGATGGACAGATAGATCATTGGATGGATGGGTAGAGAAGTAGATGGATAGATTGGTGGATAGATAGATGGATAGATGAATGGATATATAGGTAGAGAGACAGATAGAGAGACAGACTAGACAGATGGATGAGAGGGAGAGAGAGCAATAGACAGCAAATAAGATATATGGCTAGGCAGATGACACACTTGGGGGGCATTAGGAATGGGAGGTGGGTGGAAGGATAAATAAATAGTCATAGAGTTTCATGCTTGGGGTGAAGAGCAAGAGGGATTAACTCCATTAGTCCTTATCAATCTGAGAAGGCTTCCTAGAGAGATTTTTTTTATTCTTTCTTTTTTTTCTTCTTTTTTTTTTTCTTTTTGGCTAGGCAATGGGGTTAAATGACTTGCCCATGGTTACACAGATTCCTAGACAGATTTTTACACTATATTTTGTCTTTGCTGTGCTGGGGGGGGGGCTGGGTGGGCGACAGTGATGATCAGTAAAGAAAAGGTCTGGGTGTCAGGCAAAGACAGCTCATTCCCCCTGTGCTCTTTACGATAGAGTGACGGTGGCTTACTTTCTGTTCCACCATCTATTTCCCGACTCCATGACTTTGCACTATTTGTCCTTAGATCTGGAATGCTCTGCCCTGCTTAGCTTCTCCTCAGCTCCTCCTCTGTGTTTCACTGGTTCCTTTCAAGGCTCAGCTCAAAGCCTGCCTTCTGCAAATGGCATTTCCTATTTCTCTCTCCCCTACTTCCCTCCCCAATCACTGATGTTGTCTCCTTTGAGATTACCTTCTATCCACTCTGCATCTATCTTACACACACAATTGTTTGTACGTCACCTCCCACATTAAAATGTGAGCTTCTTGAGGGCAGGGACTCTTTTGCCTTTCTTTGTATGCCCCATGCTTAGCACAGTGCCCAGCATACAGTAGGCACTTAATAAATGCTTGTTGACTGACTGGTTGACTGAACTTCAAGAAGATTTTCCAGCCATCTTACATCTTCTCTTGTCAGCAGAGACCACATAGAACTGAGAAAGGTGCATAAGATTTGGAGTCTGAAAACCTATGTGAGAATCCTATCTCTGCCTCTTACTGTCTATGACCATGCCACTTTTAAATCTACAATCTCAAGATATCACAGCCCTTGGAAGCCCAGTCTCCTCAGGTGCCACAGGACCAGAATCCAGGACCGAGGACCAAGACGCACAGGAGTCAGGTGATATCAAAGTGTGAAATCTGGCAAAAAGGACATGTGACTTTCCTAACTTAAGAGGCCTGGTCAGAGCTAGAAAATTAGAAGTCCCAAAGGGAATAAGAATTCCCATTGCAAAGCACTTTAAGGTTTACAGAGCTCTTGGTTCACAACAATCCTTTGAAAGAGAGTGCAAATTCTGGTCTCACTAGCCCAACCCTGTTCTCGATGAACTGTCCAGAGGACAGTTGGCTGCACCACCCTGGGGTTCTAAGGGTTACCCTGAGGCATTGTGGAACAGCTGTAGAAACAGCTAGGTAGTCCAAGGAATGGATAGAGCACTGGGCCTGGAGGGAGGAAGGCCTGAGTTCAAATCTAGCCTCAGATACGTATTGGCTGTGTGACTCTGGGCAAGTCACTTAATCTCTGTCTGCCTCAGTTTTCTCATCTGTAAAATGGGAGGTCATAATAGCACCTACCTCCTGGCATTATGGTAAGGATAAAATGAGATTATATCTATAATGCACTTTGAAAACTTTAAAACCCTTTATAAATACTAGCTATCATTATTATTATTATTATAGTGGGTTGCTAGTGTGTAGAATATACTATATAATAATATATACTATAATGCTATAGTTATAATACTATAGCTCTTGAGCTCCCATCCGGAATATTTCTCAGTTACCATCTCCTCAATATCAATTGACCAGTTGATTTCTCTTTAATTGAAGTGCAGTGACCTGCCCAATAATCCTAATGGCTGCTTGTGCTCCTACAAGCACTTCAAACTTTGCAAATAACTTTCTAGGTCACACTTGATCTTCGCAGCAAGGCTGTGAAACAGGTGCTCTTACTGTCCTCATTTTACAAAGAGTAAACTGAGGGTGAAGAGGCAACTTGACTTGTCCAGGATCACACGGCTAGTAAGTAGCAGACCTTCCATTTGTCCAGGGTGACTGAACCGAAGAGAGAATGAGATCTGTCTCTTTAATTCTATTCTGAAGCCCACCCACAGCTGCACCACCTCAGACTCATCCTGTCGTAGATCTATGGAGGGTAACTGAGTGAGGAGAAAGGTGCAGTCCTCACAGAGGACCCAGACACTGATGGAGGAGATGTGGCTCCCACTCTCAGGGAGCTCCTAGTCTGGTGGGGAGAGAGAGATCCAGCACAGCAGAAGAAAGAGGTTTGCCAGGAAGCCCAGCTAAAGGCTGCTCTGGGCTCGGAAGGCTGGGAGGAGAGATTTCTGCCCCCAGGAGCTGGTAGCAAGAAGCTTCCAAAGGCCTCCAAGAATGAAAAGGAGAGCTCAGACACTAAGACTAGGGAGTCAGAGGGAGGTGACTGAGGCCAAACCTCAGGCCACCATCCTTTCCTCAAACCCGGAGAGACTGGAAGGGGCCCAGGAAAAACATGGGATGAGGAAGGATTCCAGCAATGCTCAAGGGCTACCTCCTAGAAGGAGTTTTTTTATTTGCTTAAATATATATATGGTGAAATGACCGCTTCCCCTTAGACCAAAGATCTGTAGCTGGAAAGCATCCTGTCCAACCCCTCCTTTCATAGATGGGGAAACTGAGGCCTACGGAGATTAAGTGACTTGCTCAAGGTCATACAGGTAATACTCTTCCAAGGTGGTATTTGAGCCTCCAAAGACTGATAGAAAGGCTAGCATTTATATATTGCTTTAAGGTGTGCAGAAAACTTTGCAAATATTTTCTCATTTGAATATTGTAGAATGTAAGCTCCTTGAGGGCAGGGACCATGTAGTTTAATCTCTGAATCCCCAGTGCCTAGCACAATGTAAGTCTTTAGTTAACACTGGTCAATTGATTGAATTGTATAATTCGATATTTACTTATCTGGATCCATATTGTACCCTTACCATAGAATGTAAGCTCAGTGAGGGCAGGGACTATCATTTTTGTATCTATCCTCTCTGGCCCCGGACAGCACACAATAGCTACTAAATAAATGTTCTTGCTAGGGTGAATGGGAAGTGAGGTGGGTAAATCTCCTGAGGAGGATCTCTCCACTGTCACTGAGGGGCCACTGCAAGGTTTGGGGCCCTCCTTAGCCGGGGATGAGGGAGGGAGTGGTCTGACTCAGACAGCAAGCTTTCCTTGAACCCTCCTCCCTCTGAGTCCAGCAGAAGCAGGATCGTGGGCCAGAGGGAGAGAGTAAGGGGGTGGTGCTCACATTCTTATGGCCTCATCCACAGCTGGTCCACCCAAGCCTCCGACATCATTCCTGGGCAAGGACCCAGAATCAGGTGGGGCTTGACCAGGAAGGCAATGGGGTGGGAGCGCTGGACGTGACAGGAGCTTCCACTGTCCCAATCATACCCCAAGAGGACTAGTCCCGTACAAATTATTATTTCTCTTCCTCCTTCTCCAAGCTTTAAGATTTCACTGCCCTTTGCATATGTATTATCTCATCGATTCTCACAACAGCTCCGTGAGATAGGAGGGGCGCTTATTATCCTCCTTTAACAGTTGGAGAAACTGAGGCTCAGAAAGGTTAGGTGATTTGGCCAGCCTCACACAGTTAGTAAATTCTGAGGTCCAATTTGAACTCTTCCTTACTCCAGATCCCGACCTATGCAACTGAACTATCTGGGCTTCCCAAGAAACCAAGGGGCTCTCCTGCACACTTAGGGTAGCCTCATTGGGGTGGGAGGTGTGGATAGGTGGGCTATGGTGTCCAAATCACAATGTCAGCACCAAGCTTTCCCAAGCTACCTTTCCGGGACCCTCCACACACTCCCAAAACAGAGTAGCAGAATTGGGGAAACGGGTAGCAAGGAATGGAATTCCTCTCCTCCAAAGAATTTAGGAGCTGCTCTATGAATTTGGGGTAGGGGGCCCTGGGCTGAGCTTTTGAGCTTCGCTGTCCCCCGCCCACCCCTCCGCCCGGAGACTTTAGAGTCCGAGACCCCGCCCCTCCCACATCTGTGTCTGGGATTGCAATCTGAACCTAGGCGCTCACTCTCTCTCTTTCGCTCAGGGCGAGCAAGCAGGAGGGAAGGGGGCCGGGCCAGGGTGTGTGGGTCCGAAGGGGTGGGGGACAGGAGTGGGAGGAAATAGTCCAGAAATCCCCCGGACTTTGGGGATCTCCTGCCTGCCTGCTCCAAGGCACTGGAGAGGAGGGAAGGTGTGGACCCACCCTGAAGGAGGACTGAGCGATAGGCTGATAAAAAACGAAGACTAGTCCGCTCCCTGACTTAGGCGCAGGGGGCCTGGCTGGGCCGAGGAACATCTGCATCCAGACACAGTTGGAACGAGGCAGCTTCGGTGATCCGGCGGTAACAGAGAGACCAGAAAAAGAGGGAGGTGAGTACCTAGCTAGAGGAAGAGAAAAGGCTTTCTTACCTGACTTTGAGGGTGGAGGACTGGGGACAGGCTGGGATACGGGGCACCTAGGTATTGCCTCAAAGTCTAGACCCCTCTACACACACGCACACCCCACCACAAATACACACACACACACACACACACACACACACACACACACACACACACACACACACACAGTGGGTAACGTCAGGACCTGAGAAACGGAACTCTAAAACTCCAAATTTTCCCCAAGTCAAAAAGTCTCTGACTTTGAATGTTTGGGGTTCCCCATCTTAAGGGCCCAAGGCTAGGGGTGGAGGCTGACTATTCCAGGCTCTCCTGACTTCCAGCCCTCCCTGCACTGCTCCCCTCCTGTCTGCTCCCATCCATCCCCTCCCTGTGGAAGCTGGGAGGTCTGATGTGGGAGGGGGGGATTCCTGAATAGGGCTAAGGGAGGATCCCCAGGCAATCTCTGTGTGGGGTCAGGATTGGGAGGAATTCTGTGCCTGTGGGAAAGTCCAGAAGTGTGTGCTTTGGGGAGTGGCGGTGGACAGGATGGGATAGGATGGGGAGCCATGTACTAACTTCTGACCTTGGCCAACAGAAAGGAGTAGGGGGTCCCCTGGGAGAAGCTGAGGCCATGGGGGAAGGGTAGCCAAAGGGGGCTCTAAGGGACCCCCAGAGAAGTCAATTGGGTCTGTGGAACGGAAGGAGAGGGAGGGGAAGGGGGGAGAGAGTGGTGAGTAAGTTCCTGAAGTTGGAGTAAATGTGTGTTTACATCTCTGGTTCATAGATCATAAAACTGTAGATGTAGAACCTCAGAAAGTTATTTAGTTTGACCCCCTGATTTTATAGAGGTCAGTATTTAACTGTGACAGGCACCGTGCTAAATGCTGGGGACACAAGGCAAAAAACAGGTGAGGAATGCGAGGTCCAAAGAGCTTAATAAATGAGTGAACATAATATATTAATATTATATAATAATAGTATATCATTATATAATAATAAGTGAAGATAAAGCCAGGATCTGAACCCTGCCCTTGTGACTCCATAGCCAATGGTATTTCTCCCATCGTTTTATATTTACCTCTAGTTGCCTCTGCTTCTGTCAGTGGGCATCTCCATTGGACGTGTATCTCTGTCTTTCAGTCTGTGATGGGGTATGTTTTTTTGGTCTGGACAAGCTATCTGGTGGGGGAAGGGGAGTGGCGATTGCTCAGGGCGTCCCAAAAGTCTTAGGGCACAATAAGCTTTAAACTGCACTAAGACTTTTGGGACATCCTGAATCAAAATATAAGCACTTTTGGTGCAGTTGAAGCAGGTATGACAGGAAGATGGGGATGGGAGTTTCTGCTGGACGATACTGAGATTTTAAGTGAATTTTTTGTGCCTGTCAATGTTTGAGTGTCTGTATGGCTGACAGTCATTCTGTACGTGGGTACTCGAGAGTGAGAAAACCCACAGGTCAGTCGGAGTGTCTAGATGGCAACCAATTGACAAGCATTTATTGAGTGCCTACGAGATACCAGCCTGGAACTGTGCTAGGCTCTGAGAACCCAGACAAGAACAAATCAGCCCCTACCCTCAAGGTGTTTACTTTCTATAGGAGCAATAATGGCTGGTCATGTCAGTGGAGAGTAAACACAGACAAGGACGGAGCAGGACTCGTCAGGTGTGCGTCTCTGGGTTGGGCTTGGTTTTCTCTGCTTCAGCACCTTCACAGGAGTCCCTAGTACTGGGCCCCTAGATGTGAGGGCAGCTAGACGATCCACCCAGTGGCCTCTGAGAGTCTGTGACTCCTATTCAGCCTCCGGAAGCCAGCCTGGAGAGCAAACTTGAGGATGAGGGACGGTTTTTCCATTGTCTTTGCATCCCCAAGGCTTGGCTTAGTACTTTTGCACACAGTAGGTACTTTAAAATGATGATTCGATTTTACCATTCTACTTAGGTTGTTTCTCTAAGCTCTCGATTTGGGATTCAGAACACCTCCCCTAAGGTCTCACCCAGTTCTGAAAGATCTCCAAGCACCTTTTCTTCCTCCTCTTCTGGACCTCCTCCTTTCTCAAGGACTGAGATTATTGTGGCTTTTCCTATGGAGCTGTCCCGTCATTTTTTCAGTCCTTTCCAGCTCTTCATGATCCCATGTGGCCCTTTCTTGTCAGAGAAACTGGAGTAGCTTGTCTGAAACTAGAATGGAGAGAATTATTCCTGCCCTCAGGAAGCCTCCAGTCTGATGGGGCAAATATCAGGACTCATAAAGCACTAGACAAATTGGTGCCCTCAATACTCAAATGGATCCTTGTACAATCTGCTCATCCTGCCCAACTCCGTCCATGGCCTTCCACTCCTTCACCCATAAGGTCTGTGAAGAATTTAGGGGCACATAAATACACAGGCCTGTAACACCTACTAGCTATGTAATCCTAGGCAGGTCACTTAACTTCTCAGACCCACCACACACCCCCCCCACCTAGTGGCAGACCAATTGCTGATCTATATTGGTAGAGGGACTTTATTCAGAAGTTCCCTACACGATGAAATCACTAGTCTAATATCCCTTCCAAAAACTTCATGTAGGGAAGATAGCCTAGTGCAGGTATATGGAAGAAAAGATGTGGATAAATAAACATTAGTTAACTTATGTTATATGAGCCCAACATAAAGATTAGATAACATGCTTTTATGAAATTTTTGGTCTTGTAGGGAGATAATGTAATTATATGTATGTATATATGTTTATATATATATACACATTAGATATAATTATTATATATTATATATAATTTTAATTTTTGTTATATTGTATATGTTACATATATGCATGCCCACGCACATGCAGCATACTCTAATTGATATGGAGAGCTGGCCTCAGAGTCAAGATGATTTGGGTTCAAGTCTCCCCCCACCCCCAACCCCCTGCATTGGAATAAGAGGTTTCCTCATCTGGGAATGAAATCTTCAGATCTGGTCAGATGTTTAGATAGAGATGATAGAGACAGAGGCAGAGACAGAGAGATAGGGATAGACTCTTGTATATATCTTTGGATGGGAGAGAGACTGATTCATGTATATGTGTATATGTCTTTGGATGGATGGATGGATGGATGGATGGATATGGATGGATAATCTAGACTGCACCTGGGATTTCATTAGTATAATAAACTCCCAATGAGCAAAACCTTTCCACTAATGAAGAGAGGAAACACCCAATTTATAGGCAATTTATAGTCTTAGGAGGTTGTTTGGGGCCCCGAAAAGCTGTGAATGGCCAAGGCTGAAAAGGCAGCTCTTGAACCCAAGTCTTGCCTTCCAGCCCTCACAAGGTATTTTAATAACAACTGTTCAGTTTAATTTAGTAAACATTTATTAAACACTTACTATGTGCACTCAAGGAAGTTACATTTTACTGGGTAGAGGATAATAGCTGACATTTTATAGAGCCAAAATGCCTTACATCCATTAATTCATTTGATCTTCACGATAACTCTGTGATAGGTACTATTATTATCTCCATTTTTACAGATGAAGAAACTGAGGCTGAGAAAGGTTGAGTGATTTGCCCAAAGGCAGACAGGTAGGAAGTATCTGATGCAGATTTCAAATTCAGGGACTCCTCACTATAAGGCTGTGGCCACTATAGCACAGACACAAATATCTTAATAAATGATGTTGTGGGCATTAAACAAAATGCTCTGTGAAGTCACACAATCCTAGAGCTAGAAGGGACCCCAGAGATCATCTAATCCAAGCCTCTTATTTTACAAATGGGGAGACTGAGGCTCAGGGAGCTTGAGTGACTTGCCTGTTTATTTCATACAAGACATGGAGGGGAGGGGCTGCCTTGAACCATCTGTGCCTCCTGCCCTGGCCTGTTGTGACCAGCATGTATGAGAAGGTTGGTAAGATCATGGCTCTAGAGCTGGAAAAGGACCTTAGAGATTCATTAGTTCCGACCTTTCCATTTTATGGATGAGGAAACTGACTTCTAGGGAGATGAACCCATGAGGCCTCAGCTCCCTTTTGGGCCAAGTTTAGCAGTCAGTCTGTATGAATGCAGTCAAGTTGAAAGGGACCTCGGCAGCCATCTAGCCCAATTCATACTCACAAGGACTCTCCTTTATAACATTCTCACTAGTGGTCTTAATGACCATTATTATATTCCCACTGAATCCCCCCTTCTCCAGAGTAAGCACATCTAGTTAAGGGTTGGTCTGGGAGGAGGGATGAAGGGTCAGTCTATGGTCAGGGTTAGTGATCAGCCTATGGCAAGAAATAAGAGCCAGTCTACGGTCCAGATTAAGAGTCAACCCCTTGCAGAGATGAAAGGTCAGTCTGTGATCAAGGTTAGGGGGCATTCTATGGGAAGGGTCAGGGGTCAGTCTAAGGTTGTAGTTTGGGTCAGGCTTTGACCAAGTTTAGGAATTAGGGTGTTGGACTAAAAGGGGATAAAAGTCAGTCCAAGGTTTAGGCTCAAGCTAGGACAGAGGTTAGGGCTCTGTCTGTGGCCATGGTAAAGCTCAGGAACTGTCTATGTCTGAAGAACAGTGTAGCCTCTGTATAAATCTGACTGGCTTAGATGGCCATAGAACACATGACCTTGCCCTCATTAACACGTTTATAACTAGCAAAGTCTGTGCCTAGTTTGCAAGGGTGGGGGTGGGGTTCTATGAAGGGGTGTGTTTCCCTCTAAATTTTCCTCCCTAGGACAAAGCCCTAGTCACCATGTCCTCCATATAACTGTGCTCATTACCTCCTCACCTTCCCCATGAAACTAACAGGTCTCTAGGGATTGATGCCCAGCCCCTAAGCTTCCTACTTCTGGACTCGGCCCTGGAAATTTTTCTCATCTATCAATTTTTCCATACAGAAATGTGGGGGTGTAGACTACTTTCTCCCATTTCTGGCTTGGATAAGATCTGAGTGGCACCTTGGATCCATGTTATTTTTCAGCATATACTTGTGTTTCAGTTTTCCTTTAAGAGAGATTTTACTTTAAGTGTATGGCCTAACTACACACTAATGGGGCGTGATCTGTGTGTGTGTGTTTGTGGACATGTGTGCCAGGAAATCACCCAGGACATCTTCAATCTGAAAGCTCCTGGCAGTCAACCTTGAGCCCCTTCCACTCTCCTCACTCAAGTGAATAAGCCAGTTTCTCCTCTTTACCTTATTGTCGGGGGCCCCCCACTCTCCTTCCAGACTTCATCCAGGGAGAACACACAAGTGGGCAGCCTGAGGTACCACAGCTCAGCCACCAGCTCCAGCTTGGCAAGGTGGCTAGGCTCTCCTAGACCCAACCTCTCCCCCTGGGCCTGGTTCTGGAGAATGTTTCTTTCTTTGCCAACTGAGCTCCAGGTGAAATCAGCTCATTCCAGGTCAGCAAGAAGTCAAAGCTCCACATTAGTGGCCCGCTTCTCTGAAATCCACAGCCAGATTCTTCCCTCCAAGGGATTCCTCCCTCCAAGGTGGCTCAGCCTCAGGCCCCTCTGTCCCCCAAAGAGGGATTACCTTGTCCTTCAGGGCAGAACCAGAGTAATGTGTGAGAACTGAAAAGAAGAGCATTTAGGCTTGATGAAGGGATGCCTTCCTAACCAGCAGAGCTACCTGACGGTGAAAGGGACAGCCTCAACACAAGGTGGGGTCCCTCCCACTGGAGGTCAAGGAGAGGATTGGCTTGATGACCTCTGAGGTCCCGTCACTGTGATTCCATGTATGCATCTGGGCATGTCTTTATACGTGCGTGTTTATGTGTCTGTGCTTATGGGGTGTGGGTCAGTGTCTGTGTGCCTGGTGGTAAGCTCCCAACCCCGGGAAAGCCATATCCTTAAGAGAGCTGAGTGTCTGAACAGAACCCCTTCCTGGATATGCTGAATAAGCAGTTCAGAGCCCTGGTCCTACTGTGGGGAGGTAGAGTGTGTCATCTGTGTTTTTAAAGGTTAGATCAGGTCATTGAATGATGATTGAGGGCTGGGAAGAAAGCTCTAAGTAAGGTTCCAGGAGATAATTGGGGTCAAGGTACCTGACTTAACATCCTTCTCTCTTCTTATCCACAGCCTTCCAGGGGATGCTAAGATGCTGGCCGTGCCAGAGTCTCAGATGCACAGTCTGCAAATAAGTAAGACCCAATACCCCCATTCTTTTTTTCCTGCAACTCTGCCCTACCTTCCTCCCTTCTTTCCCCACTTCAAATGATTTCCTCCCAGTTCCTTCTTCTCCTTCCTCCTCTCTTCCCCACCCCAGACCTACACTGAAACTGTATTCACCACTTTCCCAGCCCATAAGTGCTTGAGCACGCACGCGCACACACACACACACACACACACACACACACACACACACACACCCTGCAAAGACAATACTCATAAAGAGCCCAACCAGGCTCTGTCTATGCACACATAGGCCCGCACATAGACACAAGAGTATAAAACAATTCAATTCAACAAACATTTATTAAATGCCTACAGTGTATACAACATTCTGCAAAATGCACAGAGGAGCAGCCAGTTGTGAGAATGGGCATAGATGTTAAATGTGTATGTGCAAGTGTGGTTTGTTTTGTTTTGTGGGGTGGGATGCTGTTGGAACGTCTGTACAAATGGATATGCCTGAATGCACAGACAAGTGGGTGCCCGGTGTGAATAAGTGTGTTCATGAGTTTGTATACACAAATATGGGTGTGTATGAGCATGTATGTGGTGTGTGAATGTGCGTGTATGGGGGTGGTATTCAGAGGGTTGCCAGGAAGCAGAAAGAGACCAAATTAACATTTATTAAGCACCAACTATTTGCTACATATGTAGTGTGTGTGTGTGTGTGTGTGTGTGTGTGTGTGTGCCTCCAGCCACTCTCCTCTGTCCCCCTCAGCTGGGGTGGGGTGCCCTCCCCAGGAAGTCCTCTCACAAAGACCTGGCCGGCCCTTCCTTCCTGCCCCTCTTCCCACCCTCCCCCTGTGCACTCAGGGCCTCTCCGGCCTCTAGCCCAGCCCTGCTCAGCCCTAGCTCAAGGGCAGGAGCCAAACCCAGTTTCCCCTTCACCACTTTACGCAAACCCCCTACCACCTTCACTTGCTGACCCACTTGGCTAAGCCCCTGCCTCTCCAGGGACCTTAGGGGGAAAAGTCTGAGCCCCTCCTTTTACAGAACAGGAAAAGATGACGTTGAATGACTTGCCTAGCATTCCACAGCTTGTACATGTCTACCCGTGGGATGTGAACTCAGGTGTTCTGGCTTAATGCAGTATTCTTCACAATCATGCCCCCTTGGGAGTTATAAGGACACTACCACCACCACCCCCAACACACACCACACACACACACACACACACACACACACACACACACACACTCACTCACTCACTCTGCACTGAGATGATAGATGGTACAAAGAAAAAATGCTAGATTTGTGGTCAGAGGACCTGGGTTCAAATCCTAGCCCTTCCTCTTAGGACTGTTAGTGGCAAGTCCCTGGACTCAGTTTTCTCTTCTGTAAAATGAGAAGGTTGAATTAGGTGACCTGTCAGGCCCCTTGGAGTCCTGAATCTGTACATATGCCAAAGACATCAGCATCCCCCAGGACTTTCCCAAACAATACATATCCATTTTCTTAGGGGCTTTCTGGAGACACCCTCCCACTCCCCACCTAGTGACTCAAAGGGTAGTAATTCTACTCCAGGAAGGTGAGGCAGGGTGGCCCATGACGGAGCAGGAAGGAAGAGGAACAGCAGAGCCTCCTCATTCCACCTCCGTGGAGGCATGTTCCAGCACTGTGTTGAGAAGGTCCCTGGTGCCCCTCATCTCCATTGTATTCTCCACCTGGCCATCCCCAAAGCACCTGAGGAGCTCAGGGGAAAGGAGACTCTCCAGAGAGGATGGTAGCTACCTACCTCCCTATGGGAGATTTTGTATAACTTTAAGGTTTACAAAGCAGTTTTCTTACATGACCTTTTGAAGTAGGTAGCATGACAGAGTGGATAAAGTACCATGCCTGGAGTCACAAAGACTCATCCTCATGAGTTCCAATCTGGCCTCAGACACTTACTAGCTGTGTGACCCTGGGCAAGTCACTTCACCCTGCATGCCTTCCTTAGTTTCCTCATCTGTAAAATGAGCTAGAGAAGGAAATGGCAAACCACTCCAGTATCTTTGCTGAAAAAACCCCAAATGGGGCCACAAAGAGTCAGACATGACTGAAACAGCTCGACAATAGCAAATATTGCCATCCTAATTTTACAGATGAGGAAATGACTGGGTCAGTCACCCTGCTAGTGAGTATTGGTGCTGGCCTCATAATCTGGGTCTTCTGATACCAAGGTCAGCGTTCTTTCCACAGCCCAGAAATTACCCGGCTCTACCCTTCCAATCTGCCAACCTTCAACATAGTTGCTTGAAATCCTATTGTCTGCCCTCCTTCCCCTTGGTTTCAGCATTGAACCCCAACTCTTTTTGGGGAAGAGAATAATGACATTGCATCACAAATTTAGATCTGGAAGCACCTCAAAGACCATCAAGGGTCACCCCCTAATTTCAGAGGTGCCGAACAAGGTCATACATCTCAGTACCAGAACCGGGATTTAATGGCCAGCCCTACACAAGGAATGCATTCAGTCCTTGATCCCTGGGATATTTGTGAATTTGTCGATATGCTAAGGCTCCATTATGTGCTGGGGACTAAGAAGCTGTTCCTGCCTTCAAGGAGATTACATTCTACTGAGGGACTGGGCCGGATAAAATGTGTGCACAGATAAGAGAACAATTAAGACGTCCCCACAGCAGAGCAGTCCCAAAGTGGAATGAGCTGGGGGTCTGGGGCTGGGGGGGGCAGGTTCCCCTTCCTTGGGGGTCTTCAAGCACAGGCCGGAAGACCACCTGTCACAGAGAAGATTCCTCTGGTGTTTTATTGTACTCAGATGGACGCTGGGGTCCCTTCCAATGCTCAAAGTCTGTGATTCTGATTCTGAAGTAAATACAAGGTTATTTGAGAAAAGAAAGTGCTAATAATGTGGGGGAGGAGGCTCAGATAAGCTCCTTGGGGAGAGGGGAGGGGGAAGGGCAAAAGAGACAAGTCTTCGAACCTTGTGGGGTGGCCCTACTGGACTCCCTCATTCAGCACCTGGTGACTTACATGGGGAGTATTGAGCCCATCAAACGAAGGCTCAGGTTGTGTTCCCCTCCCCCTACTCCCTCTCCTTCCTCCCGGCTGCCAGCTGGGGCCAGTCTGTCCCCCACGGCTGGGTGGGATGATTAATTCAGGACCTAATTGGAACCATGTGGGTGGGTGGGGGTGGGGGGGAGGAAAGGAGAGGGGGAAAGGCTCCCAGGCCATTAAACCAGCCATTCCCCTGATCTGAAACTCCCCACTCCATCCCCTCCTCCCCTCTCCCCCTCTCTTGTCTCACTATTTGTCTCTGCATCTCTCCCTCTGTCCTTTCTTTCTTGCTTCCTTCCTCCCCACCAGACTCAGCACCTCCCCTCCTAACAGCTACTTGCCCATCCCCCTTTCTGTCGTAGACTCTCGGAATGCTAGATTTGGAAGAAACTTTAGAAATCATTTAGGATGGAGTTTCTTAATACGAGGTCTGTAAACTCTGTGTGTGTGTTTTGATAACTGTATTTAAGTATAATTAGTTTAATCCCTTGTAATGTATTTTCATGTTATACGTTTAAGAGCATTCATTGGAGAAAGGCTCTGTCGGCTTCACCAGACTGCCACAGGGCTCCACCATGCCCCTGTGTTAGCTCAGCTCACTCCTTTTACAGCTGAGGAAACTGAGTCTCTGAAAGGGAGAGGGATTTGCCCCCAGCCACCCAGGGAATGAGTGGGAGAGCCAGTTCTGAAGCTCAGAGGTCTTGGTCCCATGGGGCTCTTTTCTGTGTGTCTTCTGACTCCGGATTTCTTGCCTCTTCTTCCTTCCCCTCCATGCCCACCCTTCCCTGGCTCTTCACCCCATAAAACAAGGAGGAAGGAACCTTAGTAGAGAAGCAGGTGTCGGCAGCAGAAGCCTCCTGCTCACTGTCCTCCTCTGCTCAACAGTCTTCACTAGCTCCCTAGCAGGCTTTCTCATTGCCCGTCATTCAAGACCTCCCAGTTTGCTATCACCCTGTTTCCAGTTTTATCTCATATAAAATCCAGCCAAACTGGACAGTTGATATCCACCAAACATGACCCCATGTCTTTGCCTCAGCCCTTCCCCTTCTCTGCCAGGCTTTAACGCCCACTCAAATTTCACTGCCTTCCTGGGGCTTTGGTTGGTAGGGAAGACCCTCCCTCCTCAGGGTCCTGAAGAAGCCAGAACTGGGCCTTTGTCTAATGCCCTCCCTCATAGCATCAGAGAGTTGGAGGTTGGAGCATTGGGTGGGGGGGAATCATCTGGGTTGGAATCCCACCCCATATAAACACAAACCACTCAAATTGACAGCATGACCCTGGTGGCACTGGGCAGGAAAATGGGTTTAGTCAGACCTCAAATCCCGACTGCTTCTTAGCCTCTCTGGTTGGACCATCTAGAAAAGAAGGAAATCTCATAGAGCACCAGCCCTGGAGTCAGGAGGACCAGAGTGCAAATCCAGCCTCAGACACATAATACTCACTAGCTGTGTGACCCAGGGCAAGTCACTTAATCTCTGCCTTAGTTTCCACATCTGTAAAATGAGGGTTGGACTCTATATAATCAGACCTTTGATTTTTTTTTTGATGGAGGGGACTCCCAGTGAGAAATTCACTGCAAATTGGCCTCTGCTCTGCAAATTATAGTCTTAAGAGAGTTATCTGGGGACACTGACAGTCTAGGTGACTTATGCAAGGTCACACTGCCAGTATGGAGCCAAGACTTGAATCCAGAACAGGCCAAAACAGCTCTATCTACCATCCTGCTTCTCTTGGTACCTTCCAGGATACTACTAGGCTAAATTCTATAAGGTTAATGACTGGAGTTAGCTAGATATTTTTTTCAGTTTCCACATCTAGTACAGGACACATAGCGGATGCCTGATGAGCATTTGTTGAATTGAATTGAACTGAATTGAAAACAAGGAGCCCCATGTAATAGCCCACACACCTGTGATCCAATCCCCTGTTACTGGGGAGGCCGAGGTTGGTGGATTGCTGGAGCTCAGGAGTTCTGAGCTAGAGTAGGCTGAGCCGATCGGGTGTCTTCATAAGTCTAGCACCACTTTGAGGAGGCCTTGGGAGTGCAGAGCCACCAAGCTACCGGAGGAGGAGAGAACTAGCCCAGGTCAGAAAGGAAGCTGGTCCATAGGGGACCATGCCCATGAGTGGCCACCACACCTCCAGTCTAGGAGAGTGAAGGAGACCCAGTCTCCTTAAAAAAAAAAGGTGGGATGACACTGGAACCCCATAAGAAAGAAACCAAACAATTCACAAGCCTTTATGTAACCCTATTATATCCCAGGTACTAGATTAAGGATTCTTAATTGTCTTATGGATACTTTTCAGAGGGTCCCTGAACTAAGACAGGATGAATTACTTCTTTATTCCGATATATCTTTGCAATCCTATGGATTTAAAAACATTCTTGGGAAACAGGGTCTGTAAACTTCATCCAGCTGCCAGGGGTCCATGACACAAAGAGTGTTCAGAACCTCCAGACTGGAAGAAAAGAGGGATGAATAGGGGCCAGCCAAGGACTCCCAAGTGTTGATTTCTATCAAAGGTTTGAGCTAGGAGCTATGGGTGGTGTGGAGGCACATTCAGGGGAAACGCCTTGATAAGCGGAGCTGTCCAAAAGTGAAGTGGGCCTGCCTGGAGACCCAGGAGCTCCCCTTGACCGACCAACTTGGCAGGTGTGGACAGGAGGGTGCTGTTTTTCAGCCATGGATAAGACTGGATGTCCACTGAGGGTGGGGAGCCCTTCCAGCTCTTAATTTCTGTGATCCTCTGTGTTTCTGTGTGTCTGGGGAAGACAAATCCGCCGGTCTTCTTCCCCCACAACTGAATCACTCCCCTTCTGGCCTCTCCCCTTTCCTTAACCTTCTCCCTCTCTTTCCTTCTCTTCCTGATGCTCCCTGAACCCCAGGGTGGGCGGGAGCCTCCTCGCAGCCTGGTCTAGAAACCAAAGAGCTCCTCATTTACCTGCAGTTTCCCAGGGAGAGGTTTTGATTTTATAATGAAAAGCCAAGAGAGCCAGGGCTAGAGTCTGGGAAGGCCCGCTTCCTCCGCCCCACATTGTCTCCTGTCCCACCCCGTTTTCTGGCTCTGTCTCCTAGGCTGGAGTGCCTGTCTAGGGAGTTAGATCACGGCGCGTTAGAGCTGGGAAGGACCTTCGGGGTCATGCAAGGAGAGCCAGCTGTAGTATCGTACAAAGAATGCTAGAAACAAAAGTGGGATCCAAATTCTCCCCCACCCTTCCCTTTCTCCCCACTCAAGCAGCTGCTAGTCTAGCTTGGGCCCTTATCACCTCTGGTCTACAGGATTACAATCACTTACTAACCGGTCTCTGCCTCAAGTCTCAGCCCCCTCCAAATCATGCTGCATTCCACTGCCAAGCCTGGCCATTTTGCTCCCTTCTTCGGTAAACTCCAGTGGTTCCTTGTTATCTCTAGAATCATATTAAAAAAAAAAAACCTCTCTTGAGCACGTATAGCCCTTCACATAACTGCCCAAATTGCATCCCCTCCAGCCAAACCGGACCTGTTACTGTTCTTTATACACAACACCCCTTCTCAGCCCCTTGAATGTAATGGATAGAGAACTGGCCTGGAGGCCAGAAAGACCTGGGTTTGTTCTACCTGTGACATCTACTGGCTGCATGACCCTACACCAGTCTCTTAACTCTTGGGGCTCTACGCTCTTCCTAAGACTAATTTACAGAGACGGTGGCAATCTGCTTTGGGGGAGAGTGTTTCCTCACCCAGGAATTCCCATGAAATCACAGATCCTGTCCCATCTCCACCTTCAGTGGGTGACTTGGTCTTGTAGAAGGGCTGTGAATTGGGACAGAGGGACCAGTGAACTAAGAGGAAAGAGACCCACGGTTACAGTCTTAGCTCTGCCCTCTCAGGGTCTGTGTGAGCTTGGAAGAGTCAGTTCCCAATCTGGGCCTCGGTTTCCTCTCCTCTGAAATTGAAGGGAGGGGGCAGCATGTGGGGCTGGTTGGGTAAGACAATCTTATAGATCTAATACTCAGATCTAGACCTGGAAGGAGCCTTGGAGACCAACCTGAGGTGGGGCAGTGGATAGAGCACCCCCGCCCAGAGTCAGAAAAAACCCTGAGTTCAAATCCAGCCTCCAGCATTTAGCTATGTGACCCTGGGCAAATCATGTAATCTCTGTTTGCCTCAGTTTCCTCATTTATAAAATGGGGATAATAATAGCACTTACCTTCCATGGTTATTGTGAGGATCAAATGAGATAATTTTAAAAGCACACAGTGCCTGGCACATACTAGATGCTATGAAATGTTAACTATTATCATTCTTTTGTTGTTCAATTCTATCTGACTCTTCATGACCCCATTTAGGGTTTTCTTGGCAAAGGTACTGTAGTGGTTTGCCATTTCCTTCTCCAGCTCATTTTACAGGTGAGAAAACTGAGGCAAACAAGGTTAAGTGACTTGTCCAGGGTCACACAGCTTATAAGTGTCTGAGGCTAGATTTGCCCTCAGGTCTTCTTCACTCCAGACTCAGAGCTCTTATCCACTCCACCACCTAGCTGCCCCCCATTATTTTACAGATGAGGAAACTTTAGTTCAAGGTGGTGAAGTGATTTAGGATCACAGGATAAGATCAGCTGAAAGGTACCTCAGAATCCATCTAACCCAACCCTACTGAGCTCCAGGGAGGTCCAGTAATTTGCCAAAGTCATGCAGGTGGACTGGGATTTGAACCCAGGTCCTCTGACTCCAAAGTTGGTGCTTTTTCCATTTGAATTTCTAAGGGAGACACACTTCCCCTTCCTTTCTATGTTCCCAGCCTTGAAAGACATGCTCAACACTGAGTTGTTTCAGGAAGTCTTTCTGACTCATCCCTAACTACTTGGCTCTGAGTTAGAAGGAAGACCCCCAACCCCTTCTGGGACCAGCCCCTCATTTAATAGATAAGGAAAAGAGTCAGAAAGCAGGTGAGTGACTTGTCCAAGGTCACCCAGCAAGTAACCTAGAACCTAGGTGTGTGGACCCCCAGGCCACAGTTCTTAATATGATGCCTCATCTGTGCAAATTGTAAACGTTCAGTGGTCTGAGCTCCACTACCAAAGTATTGTCTTGTTCAGGACTTTAGGGGACCTTCTCAATGAGTACTGAAGGATCCTTAGTTAGTAGTTACCAGTACATATGCTTGTATCTAAATGGGTGGTCTCTTTTGGTCCCTTCCAGCAGATTCAGACACCTGAAGGGCAGGGTCTATGTCTCCCCATCAAATGAGGAGCCCCCTTTGTCTCCTCACTGTCTCTCACCCTTCCCACCCCCAACATCCCATCTGTTGGAGAGTTCCATTGTTTCTACCTTTGCAACATCTCTTGTACATGCCCCGCTCTGTCCTAGCTGCCACACTGGTCCATGTCCTCATCACCTTGTGCCTGGTTTATTTCAATAGCTGCTGGTGGGTCTGCCCTCCTCAAAACTCTCCCGCTCCCATCCATTCTCTACTCAGCTACCAAAGTGACCTCCTAAAATGTGCATCTGACCAAGTCATTCCTCTACTCAATGAATTCCAGTGGCTGCCAATCACCTCCAGGAGCAAATATGAAATTTTCAGTTTGCCTTTTAAAGCTCATCATGACCTGGCCCTTTCCAGTCTTTCCAGTCTTCTTACATTTTCCCTCCCTCCACATTTTCTGTGATCCTTTTCAGTGGCTGTCTCCCATCCCTAGAAGCCTCTTCCTCCTCATCTCTGCCTCCAGGCTTCCCTGAAGTATCTGCAAGAAGCCTTTCCTGGTCCTCCTCAATGCTATCACCTCCCCTCAGAGACAGATCACCTCCCATTTGCATTGTATGTATCTTGTATGTACCGAGTTGTTTGCATATTATCTCCTCTCGAGCCCAGTGAGGACAGGTGTATTTTTCACCTTTTTTTTTATCTCCACTTCTTAGTATGGTGGCTGGCATACAGTAAGCATTTAATAAATGCTTGTTTATTTCTTTATTGTGGGCAAGAGCTGCATCTCCTCCATCAGGCTAGGGGTTCCTGAACATGTCTCTTCTCTCTGTCTCCAAAGCCCATGATGCATTCTTCATGTAGATGAACCTGGGACAAGGTATGACCGACATTTTCTCTCTTGTTCCAGGTACAAATGGGGAGCGGTCACCTTTGCTCACCCCTCCAAGCTCTCCGAGGATGCAGGACAGCTGTAGCATTGCTCCACTCACCCCTTCTCAGTCCCCGGTAAGTGCCCCTGGATGGTTGAGAGTGGCAGGAGAGAAAGGGCTCAGGCTCAGGAAATCCCACAGGAAGGGGGCCTCTCAGCTCAAAGCCCACCTTGTGTCAGAGGCCACTGCTGGTCAGCCCATCCTTCACCGCCAGATTACTTCCCATTTGGCTGAATGTATCTTGTACGTACAATTTATTTTTCATGATGTCTTCCCCATTAGAATGTGATCTCCTTGAGGGCAGGAACTATTTTTGTCTTTGTCTATATGTCTAGTACTTAGCACGTAATAGGTGCTTAGTAAATGCTTATAGATTGACAAGCTGTATTATGTATGTGTGTGTGTGTGTGTGTGTGTGTGTGTCTGTCTGTCTGTCTGTCTGTCCGTCTGTCTGTTGGGGGGGGTAGGAGGAGACACTCAGGATTTTCAGGAATGAGAGGTCAGGCCACCTGGAAAAGAGCCCAGACCCAGGGGCTTGAAAGGTCTACCATAGAGCCAGAGACAAGGACAAGACTGAGAAAGGAAGATAAGATGTGAGACTTAGGTTAGAATTCCAATTGCTGTCCTCTCTAACCTTAAAACAGTGCCTGTCTGGATGGAAAAGTCAATGAAACACTCCAAGATGTGATACCGTACCTGGTGGTATCTGACCTTAGGTCTGATAGGGAGATGCAGCCCCTGCCATCAGAGAGAGGATGGATGGATGGATGGATGGATGGATGGATGGATGGATGGATGGACCCCTAGATTGGTTCATTGAAGAAGAAGGTGGGAAGGGAAAAGAGTTAGGGTGTGGGAAGTAGAAATTCTCTTTGTATTTGCCCTGTTCTAACTAATTCTGTCCTTCCAGAGGAGCGAGGCCCGAGCCCCTCAGCCTGCTCCATTCTCCGTGGTGGTGGCCATCGACTTTGGCACAACCTCTAGTGGCTATGCCTTCAGTTTCACCAATGACCCTGAGTCCATTCACATGATGAGGTGAGGGGCCCCCAGGGCCAGGGTGAGGGCGGGATGACTCAGATGTCACAGAGAGAGAAGGTGATAGCTGCGTAGCCTGGATGGATCATAGGTGTGGGGGCCTAGAATCAATCATAAACTCTGAAGGTGGCAAGGGAAAGGAGAGGTGGGGAAACTCAGGGAGAAGCAGACTTATCCCCAGCCCAGATATTAGGGCCAAGAGCCCCAGCTGGGAAGAGGCTGAGAGGGGCCAAATCACAGGCCAGTTCCCTCATCCTAGGACATTGAAGAAAGCAACTGTAAGGAACTTGGTCCTGAGGAGAAGTCCAGCTCAAGAAAACCAGCCCTCGAATATAGTTTAAGACCTGGGGCTGCTGTAGAGCAGGGGGCGGGGGAAGGGTAGGGGAAAAGAGAGAAAAAAGGTTACGTGATAACTTTATTATATATTTAAAAGAAATAGCAAGTTGTACATAATAGATTTGCAGTTTCATGTACGATCTTTTTCTCTATTTTACTGTGTTATGAAAATGCTTGTTTTATTTCTTAAGTTCAAAATAAAATAAAATTTTAAAAAAAGAAAAATAGCCCTTATAAGTAATAGATGATAATATCAGATAAATATTTACACCTCTATCTCCATTGTTGGAACAATGGGGAAGGTAATAGCTTTGGAATCAGAGGACCCAAGTGTCAGGACAACCTCTGAAGGTCACTTCCCTGACCTCCCTGGCCTCAGTTTCCTCTTCTGTCAAGTTAGACTAGATGGGCTCTGACTCGGCGCTCTGATAATATGCACAGCTGGGTGAGGTGGGGGAGGGAAGCGGGGGACCATGGCGGGGGAGGGGCTTTCTGACCATGCAGAAGAGTCAAAGGGGAGCTGGGAGGTGAGGCCAGTGACGCCGAGCTTGCGGGTCCCGAGTTGTTGGCTGAATAGCCCAAGTTTCTGAGCTGTCTAGGCTAGGCTTTCACTACACAACCCCTCAGATGCAAAGGGGAGATTCAGTAACCTTGAATTTTCCAGTTTGTGTTTTCTCCTCTTCCATCCCCTGGCCCCCACACAAACCCCGCTCAACTACCCAGGACGCCAAAGCCCACACACACCCCACCCACCTACCCTCCCTGGCTCACTCCCATTGTTCCCAACCTCACCCCCCCCCAGCACTCACTCACATACACACTGACCCCAAGCTGGGGTCACTTCCCCATCCCATTTCCTTCCTCTCCCCTGCTGTCTCAGATCCAGATGTTGGCCCAGCGATCTCTCATTGTCTCTGCCCTTGGCTCCTCCCACCTCACAGCTGGAGGGAGCTGTTTCTGCCTGGTGATTCCCCCCTCCCCCTTTTCCAGCCTCAATCCCTTCTGCCCCACACAGTACAATGAATCAAGCACTCTCTAAGTGTCTACCATGTGCCCAGGCACTGTGGTGAATGGGTCAGAAAGACCAGAGTTCAAATGCCACCTTGGACAGTTACTATCTGCATGACCCAGAGCAAGTCACTTAATATCTCCGTGCCTCAATTTCCTCATCTTTAAAATGAGAATGCCCTTTACAGTCCCTGCGATCCTAGGACACTGGCATGCTACATAGCGAAAAACCACAGATAATATTATTCCCATTCTACAGATGAGGAAACTGAGGCTGTGCTGTCCATCCATATACTATCTGTATAGGCAGCTAGATGTTCAAGTGGTTTGAGCGCTGCTATTAGAGTCTGGAAGAACTGAGTCTGAATCCTGTCTCCAACAGTTACCAGGTGTATGACCCTAAGAAAGCTGTTTAATTTCACTCAGCTTCAGTTTTCTTATATGTAAAATGGGAATAATTATAACCCCTATCTCCCAGCATTATTTTGAGGATCTAATTAGATAATGTGTAGAAAGTGCTTGGCCAACCTTACAACACTATGGAAATGGTGGCTGTTATTGCTGTCTGAGGCTTCTGGTGAAGAAATGCCCTCTTCAGCAAAGCCTCCCTGCAATTTAGACTCTTAGGGAGTTGCTTGGGGCACTGAGAAGTCAAGTGCCTAGGGTCACGTAGCTAGGATGGATCATTAAATCTTGGCCTGTATTTCAGCCTAAGATCCAGTAGTTCTGTTTGTAAAAGATGTAGTATGAGAGAGAAGGGAAGAGACAGAGAGACAAGCAGAGACATAGAATCAAAGAAAAACACGGGTGGGTGAATGGATATAAAGACAGGATAGGTAGATAGATGGATCAATACATCAATGGATGTATCAATAGGTATATGTAGAGAGGGAGAGAGATAGATGAATAGAAGGATGGATATGTAGGTGGGTGGATGGGTAGGTCAATCAATAGGTATATTGGAAGAGAGAGAGAGAAGAGGTGAGGGAGGGGAAAGGGAAGAGATAGTAAGAGTAAGAAAGAAACGGTTGGATGGATAGATAGGTAGATAAATCAGTAGGTACATGGAGTGAGGGAGAGAGAGAAAGATGCGTGGATAGATGGATGGATGGATGGATGGATGGATGGATGGATGGATGGATGGATGGATGGGTAGATGGATGGATGGATGGATGGATGGATGGATGGATGGATGGATGGATGGATAGGCAGACTGATCAATATGTATTATGGGAAGAGAGAGAGAGAGGGAGACTATATTAAGCACTCGCTGTGTGCCAGCCACTATGCTAAGTGCTTGGGATTCAAATACTAGCAAACAAGATCGTCCTTGCCCTTGGGGTGCTTGCATCCTAATGTAATACATAAGGGAGCTAGAAGAAGATGAGGAAGATGGAGACGAGGCAGAGGGGAAGGAAGCCGGGGGACTCTGGAGAGAGTCAAGGCCTGAGTGAGGTGAAGATAAATGGGCCTACCCTGGGAGGGAATTACCAGTCAGGAGAGCAGGGCTTGAGGGGTCTCTGGGGTGCCAAGGAAGCAGTCAAGGAGCAGGATGAGTCCAGAGGAGGGAGTGTAAGAATGAAGAATGAAAGGTCAGTGTGGACTGGCGCAGTGAAGGCAGGCTTCCTGGAGAAGGCAGGACTCACTTGAGAGGAGCCTCACTTTGGGTCACTTGGACTGGAGAGCTTTGGGAAGCCAGAGAGGAAGAGGTGGGATAGCATGGGGAGGAGGGGGGAGCAGCCTGAGCTGAGGACAAAATGAGCTCCGCCTATTTGTGAGTCCAGCACAGTGCCTTGTGCATAGTAGGTCCTTAATAAATGTTTGGTGGATGGAATGGAATTTGTGTAATAGTGGAGACTGGTCTGCATAGAGAAAGTAGAAGGGAGTCCACACATGGCCTTCTCAGTCCTTGGGTGTGGCCCTTTGACTGAGTCCAAGTCTTGTAGAATAAATCCTTTTATTAAGGGGATTTGTTCTGTGGAGTTTGGATTCAGTCAAAGGGCCACACTTGAGGGCCTAGAGGACCACATGTGGCCTTCTGGATGCCTCAGTTCTCTAAGACCCACAAAATATAAGGAAGGTCTACTACACACACACACACATACACACACACACACACACACATACTGATTATGTATGATGCCTTAGAAGCCACAAGGGTACGCTGGAAATGGTCCTAGACTTTGAAATCTAGAAAGAGTCCTAGGCTTACAAAGGTTTGGATTATAGTTCCAGCACTATCAGTTGTAGGACCATGGGCATATCTCAGAACCCTTCTGAGTCGGTCTTCAACCCAGGTCTTCCTGTCTCCAAATTCATCCCTCCAACTGTGCCCAAGGCACTGTCCTGATGTCAAGAAAAGCTTCTAAGGGAAGAACCAGATGGGTTGTGTTGTGGATATGTTTTATTTGAGATGTGCCAGGGAGGTGAGTGGCTGGGCCCAAAAGAGAGACAGAAATAGGGATGGTCAAAGGCATGTGTCACAGCATTGTAATACAGAAGGAGTCTCACAAAGAGAAACAATGCCTGAGAATGAGAGAGGGAGAGAGAGCCTGCAAGAAATGGTGAGATATGGAGAGAAAGAGGAATACCCAGAGCTTGGGTGCACATTCAAGGGGCCCTCGCTTCCTGCCAGCAGGGCTTGATTTCTCCCTCAAAGGTGAACAACCCTCAGGACTCTGTCTGGAGGCCAGCCCCCACTTTTCCGGCTCCTCTGAGTGCAATGATGGATTCTTTGATGACAGGTCACTCCCTTTCTCAGAATGGCTGCACCCAATTTCTGCTGATCCCTCTGTCCGCACCCTGACCCATCTCCCACCCCAACTGCCTCAGTTGAATCTGACCCAGGTATGGTCATCCTAGTTAGGCCAGAGAAACAGAAAAAACACAGTTAACACAGGAGACAGGGAGAGGCAGAGATGGGGAGAGGCCTGGAGAGAGAGGCAGGAGGAGGCCAACGGAAACACAGAAGCTGAGGCTAGGACAGATGGTTTCAGAGCCAGAGCTGGCCAAGCCTGACTGGACTCCATCCCACCCCAGGAAGTGGGAGGGCGGGGACCCAGGTGTGGCCCACCAGAAGACGCCCACCAGCCTGCTGCTGACCCCGGAGGGTGCCTTCCATAGCTTTGGCTACACAGCCAGGGACTACTACCACGACTTGGACCCCGAGGAGGCTCGGGACTGGCTGTACTTTGAGAAGTTCAAGATGAAGATCCATAGCACCAGTGTGAGCTGGGAGGAGCGGGCGGGAGGCGGGGTAAGGTAGCAGGGGAGGGGCTGAGGCCTGAGGGGAAGGCCAGGAGCGGGGAGGGCACTAGGGACGCTGAGGAGCAGGAGAGGGACCAGAAAACAGCCCGAGCCGTGGTGGGGTGCTCTGCAGAGTCAGGGCCCTGCCCACCCCCATCTCCTTCCCTGACATTGCTTCATTGCCCACCCAGGACCTGACCATGAAGACAGAGCTAGAGGCTGTGAATGGGAAGAAGATGCCGGCCCTGGAGGTGTTCGCCCACGCTCTGCGGTTCTTCAAGAAACACGCTGTGCAGGTGACCTTCCCCGCCAGCCCTGGGACCTTGGGGAGTGAGGGGAAGGAGGTCCGTCTGGTCCTCGGGAGTGAGCTCTGCTTCCCCTTCTCCTGTCTGCATTCCTCACCCCCCACCAAGACCAAGATCAGTGCATCCTCTGACGCCTTAACACAGACCCCTCCAGTGGACAGGCCTCCAGAGGTCATCTCGTCCATTCCCCTGTCTCCAGATATCAGCCCAGACAGAGGAGGATGTAGGGGGAGGGACTAAAAGAACGTGGGGAATGCCTCCAAGGGGCTTTGGAAGCAAGGCGTAATTGAGAGTCCACAGACACAGATGGAGTCCTGGCTCCTGACCTTGGGGCACCCCCTTTAGTTCTGATCCTGTGTCTTCTTCAGTAAGAGAATTCATTGAATTCCCTGGCTCCCATTTTTAGGAGCAGTGTCTTCCACTTACTGCCTGTGTGACCCTAGACAAGTCACTTAACCTCGGTCCTTACATCTGTAAAATGGAGATAATAATAGGTTTGATCAGACTCTCAAACAAGATAATATAATTAGTGCTTTTAAGGTTTGTAAAGCACTTTACTTGTGCTATCTCATGTGCTATCAACCCTGGGAGGTAGGTGCCATTACCATGCCCATTTTACAGATGAGGAAGCTAAGGCAAGGAAAAGATAAGTGACTTGCCCAGGGTGACTAACACAGGTAGGAAGTGGAAGAGCCCAGATTGGAATCCAGTCCCCTGAGTCCAGGGTTCTTCATTTGCACCAGAGATGGTAGTTCTACGCACATACACAAACTGAAGGCATATGCAGGTGAAAGCACGTATACACACACACAAATGGTCAACACTGTCCAGAACATGCTTAAGACCCTCCAGGAGATCTCAAGCCACAGAAATATGACCTCCTGTTGCCACTCTCCCAACCAAGCACAGAAAGGCCTTCCTGTGGTCTACCTGTAGTGTCCACTGCTGCAGGCAGGGCTGCAGAGACCTTCCCTCTCACAGGGAAAGTGAGCTTTGTTCTTCAGCTCTAAGATGGCCTTGGGGCAGGAAGTAGAACCAGAGACATCAAAGGCATGCTGGACATGATATCCCAGGGCCTGGATTTGAATCCTAGCTCTGCCTGGTACTACCAGTATATCCTTAACAAGTCCCCTCTCCTTCCCCTCTTTCCCCATCTGAAAAATGAAGGGGTTAAGCTACGTGACCTCTAGTCTGTGGGCTATGATTCTGATTTCCTTCCTTTTCCTCCCTCCCCCAAACCCGGCCGGCTGAAATCCAGGAGCTCAGGGAACAGTGCCCATCACTGCCGGAAAGGAATGCCATCCGCTGGGTACTCACCGTTCCTGCCATCTGGAAGCAGCCAGCCAAGCAGTTCATGAGGGAAGCTGCCTACCTGGTGAGTGAGGGGGCAGTAGAGAGCAGTTCCTCTTAGAGAGAGGTCCCAAGTGGCCCTGCCCTAACTGGAGACAAAGCAAAGTTGGGAAGACCTGAGTTCTAATCCTGCCTCAGACAGTTACCAGCTGAGTGACCCTGGATCAGTCACTTAACCTCTGCCTGCCTCAGTTTCCTCTGTAAATTGGGGATAATAATAACAGCTACCTCCTAGGATTGTTGTGAAGATAACCATGAGGTAATATTTGTGAGTCATTTTGCAAATGCTAGCTATTAGATGCAGCAACCAATACAACATATAAAGGAGGGCAGGGGTCATTCCCCTCTCTCCTACTGACCATCAGAGTGTCTAAAATTCCGTATGAGACTGTAGTAGTATGGAAAGAGCTCTGGATTTGAAGACAGGACCTCAGTTCAAATGTTAGCTTTGTTCTCCTGCTTGTCTGTGCTGGGCCAAATCATAGGCCTCGGCTTCCTCATCTGTAAAATGAAGGAATTGGGCTGCATGGTCTCTAGGATTCTGGTTGGGTCTCCTGGGCTTTTCAGTCTGTAAGTGGAGGGAGAAATCACACTCTCAACTTTTATTAGCTGTAAGACCTTGGGCGAGTCACTCCTTCTGGGCTTGGACCTGTACAATAAGAGGACCATATGGCACAGCAGAAAGACAGCTGGCTTGGGAATGAGAGGACCTGGGTGCAAATCCCAGCTCTCCTGTGCAACCTGGGACAGTCACTTCCTGGGGCAAATGAGGCTCTTGCGCTGGATGGCCCCTAGCTCGGCCTCTGAAGCAGCTGAACTAGACGGCCAGCCTGCCCGACTCAGCCAGTCCAGCATCCTGTCCTTCTGGGATTCTAACCAGCCACGCCCTCAGCAAAGACGGTGATGGCCAGCAAAGACAGCGATGGCTGGCAAAGATGGTGATGCTCAGCAAAGACAGAGGTCCGGAGGAAAGAGGCATTTGGAGGTGTAGGGGGGGTCACCTTGGAGGGAAGGTAAAGGGCAAGGTACAGGTCTCCAGAAACAAACTGCCACCATTTCCCAGTTTTGCCTTCCCCAAACAGGTAAGGGAGCTCTCCTCTCTCTCTATTTCCCTTCCTGTCTTGAGTAGGATGTAAGGAGCTTGCTAGGGGGCAGCTAGATGGCACAGGGGATAAAGCTCCAGCCCTAGAGTCAGAAGGACCTGAGTTTAAATCCGGTCTCAGACACTTGACACTTAACTAGCTGTGTGACCCTGGGCAAGTCACTTAACCCTAATTGCCTTACCGAAGAAGAAGAAGAAGAAGAAGAAGAAGAAGAAGAAGAAGAAAGAAGAAGAAGAAGAAGAAGAAACATCTTTCTACTTTCATAGGAGACACCTAATGGGGCTAAAGAAGGTCCAGAGAAGAGCAATAAAAATGGAGGTAGTAGACCAAAATACCCTTTGTACACAGTTAGCACTTAATAAATGCTTACTGAATGAAAACTTGGATGGATGGATAGATGGATGAATTAGATTGTAAACTACTTGAGAGCAGAGACTATTTCTTGCCTCTTTTTATATCCCCAATGCTTAGCATAGTGCCCGGCACATAGTAGGTGCTTAATAAATGTTTATTGATTGACTGAATGAATGACTAGTGCTTAGGGCTGGAAAGACCTTAGAGAGCCTAGTCTAGAAATTCTAGAACCTTCAACTGAAGACAAGAAGAAAAATTATGTTCCCAGGGTAGGCCAGGCACTGAAGTTAGAGTCAAGATTAGAACCCAGACTCCGGGACCAGAGCAGTGTTAATACCATTCTGATGGGGAGGGCACAGGCCGAGGAGCCAAATCAAAATCTATAGCCTCCTGAGGGAGAACGGTCATTCGTAGTCAACAGGCATTTATTATGCACCTACTATGTGTCGGGCACCGTACTGAGCACTGGAGATACAAGAAAGGCAGAAAATGGGCCCTGCCCTCCAGGAGCGCACAATCTGGTCAGGGAGACAGCATGCAAACCATCCAAACATGCAGAATGTACAGAGAATAGAGGAAGGGTCTTCTCAGAGAGGTGGCACCTGTGGGCAAGGAGAGGCAGAAAAAGACAGAGAGACAGCTGATGGCTTTGTTGCTCACACCCCAGACTCTAGGATGAGGGGATCCTGCGGGGCTAGCCCATGGGAGGCCAAACCTCAGGCCATCCCCCTTTCATCAGAGTGGAATAACCACAGGGACCCAATGGGGACTCAGGCTAAGGAGAAAAGCAGGATCGGGAAGGGTTTGGAGAAATCCCTAGAGGATGGGTCCTTCAGTCTGTCATCCAGAGGCCCACAGCTTTACAGCATTTATTTACATGCATTTATTAAGCATCTACTGGATACCAAGCACTAGTGATATAAAGACAGTCCTTGTCCTCAAGAAACTTACATCATACTAGTGGGAGACTAGACGTACTGAGATAAACACAAAATATATGCAGAGCAATAAATAAAGCAGTTTTAAGGGAGAGGAGAGCTTTAGCCACCAAGGAGGAGCCAGGCAGGCTTCCCAGTGCTTAAGCTGAGATTTGGAAGGAGCTAGGGATTCCAAGAGATGAAGGTGAGGAAGGAAAGCGTTCTAGGCCAGGGAAACAGCCCATACAAGAGCGCAGAGGTGAGAGATGGAATGTCTGGCTCAGGACACAAGAGGCATGCCAGTCCAGCCTTGCGAGGCTGGGATTTCTGGGCATCTCCTGTCAGGAGCAGGGCCCAGATCTGATTGTGCCATGATGGGAAAACACTGGGAGCCAGAAAGGGTTAAGACTTCGGCGGAGAAGAGCCTCAGCCCCAGGGCCTCCGGGCTCAGTACTCCCCCAGAGCCTCTGCCTCAGGCCCGTCCAAGGGATGAGAACATTGCCTGTAGCCAGGCCAGAACAAACACCCCCCTCCTCCCAACCCCGGCACTCGCAGACTCAGCCTCTTGGTGGCTTTTCCTCCCACATTGTTCCAAGGAAGCCTCAGCTCGGAAAGGGCCAGGACCGCAGGAGGAAAGTCTCTGCTGAAGATCTAATCAGAGTGAGCCGCCCTCCACCCCCATACTCTTCACCTCCCTAACGGCATTCAGGAGATCCCTCAGCCTGGAACTTTCCCAGAAACATTAGAAGTTGTGAATTCCAAAGAAAGTCAGAGATCCTCCCTGGAAGGACTGGGAGAGGCCTTTGCAGCCATCCCCCTGCCTCTGCACATGACCCTTGCCCCTGAAAGGCCCCAGTTTATTGGCAGAGATAGGGCTTCCTGTCTTCAAGGACTTTTCGTTTGGATGGAAGAGGCAGTCTCTGCTATCAGACTCCCTGTTCTGAGAAGGAGATACAGACCCTGCCCTGATTGGGGTGGCAGCCTCTGAATTAAAAAGACAGAGAGATAGACAGATGAATGATTACATAGATGACAGATGATAGACAAGTAGACTTATGACCCACTGAGCAAGGATTTATCAAGTACCTACTGTGTGCCCCAGGCATAGTGCTAAGGGGACACAAACAGAAGCAAACAAGACAGTCCCACCCCTCTAAAAGCTCATATTCTAATGGGTAAAGATTGGAAAGCTGGGGGCTAGGGAGTACAGGGCAGCGTGGTGGTAGAGAGTGGAGCACCTTGTCAGGAAGTGATTTGGGGGTCTGATCAAAGAGAAGGCAAAAACTTTCCCCTCAGAGCTAAGAGATCCAGGGGTGGAGAACCAAGTCACCCGCAGGAAGGAGGAGGGAGCAGAGGCAAAATGGCGTGTAGTCATCCAGGAAGACAACGCCTGCTCAACGTGGGTGAAACCCCTGCCCTGAGGAAGCCCTCCATATGACAGCGAAGACATGGCCTTTACCCTGATGGAGAAGACAAGACATCTCAGGACTAACGTTAGCTTGGAGAGACCCCAGCCCCAACCCAACACATTCCAACTCTGGCTCTTAGTTAGCTGTGTGATGCAAGCCTCCTGACCTGGAAGTCAGGAGACCTAGGTTGGAGTCCTAGCTCTCCAAACACTATCGGTATGACCTTGGCCAATCTTTTTCCCTCTCCAGGGCCCAATTTCCGCTGTAAAATGGAGAGTTGGCCTCCATCATTTTTCAGTCATGTCTAACTCTTATGATCCCATTTGGGGTCTTCTTGGCAAAGATACTGGTTTGCCATTTCCTTCTCCAGCTCATTTTGTAGATGATGAAACCAAGGCAAAAAGGGTTAAGTGACTTGCCCAGGGTCACACAGCTAGTAAATGTCTGAGGCTGGATTTGAATCCAGGAGGTTGGACTACAACGTCTCAAGGGTCCCTTTCCAGCTCTAACATTCTAAGATTCTTTCTCCTCTCTGGATTATCGAACATCTTCAGAGCAGAGCAGTGTGAGAACAGGACCCAGGAGAGGCAGTATGGGAAGGCAGGTGCTAGGTAGAGGGAGTGTATGCCCATTGGAAAAGGGGGGCCTTCCTACCCCAGGGGGAGAACATCTGGGTATGGAGTATTGTCACTTGGTTGGCTGAACTGCATTTTTATTTAGTATTTTTTTCTTCTTTGTTACAAGGGATGACCTCTGCCTAGGGGAGGGGGCAAGGATAGATTCTGAAATAAAGGTAATATATGAACAAAAGATACCAATAAAAACACTTCAAAGAAAGAAGAGATGAACCAGGGCTTAAACACCAGCTTGCCCAAGCCCTGCCCTGGTGGAGGAATGAGGGGTTCCTGTGCTTCATTATTGGGCTCAGAGAGCAAACAAGATAATATATAAAGCATTTTGCCAACCTTAAAGTGTTATATAACTGCTAAATTTTAAATAGCTATGACTGCTGTTCATTATTAACAGTGTCTTTAAGCACAATGCAGCTTCCCTGACCTTAGCTATCTCTGTTTTTACCTGGTACATGATTCCCACCACTGGCTTTTGTAGATTAAGTCGGGCCTAATAGATTTCAGTGCTTCCTTGCAGGCGGGCTTGGTGTCCCCCGAGGATCCCGAGCAGCTCCTCATAGCCCTAGAGCCTGAAGCGGCTTCCATCTACTGTCGGAAGCTCCGTCTCCACCAGCTCATTGACCTTAGCTGCCGGCCGGTGTCCAACGGCTTCCTGGGCGAGCGGCGTTCCATCGACTCCAGCTTCCGCCAAGGTAAGAACAGGTCCAACAAAGGGCAGAAACAAAGGTTCTGCCGCTGGGGATCTGTCCACAATTTCCCCAATGACTTCGATAAAAAGCACTGGTTTGTCAAGTCTGCCAGCGCAAGGAGGGCCGGCTAACGTGTAAGGTGGTAGAGTCAGGATCCAAGAAGACGTCGGGAGGCCAGAACATTGGGACCAACTGATGAGGTGAAATTTAATAGAAGTAAACGTAAAGCCCAACCCTAGGCTCCAAGAACCAATTACACAAATGCAGAATGGGAAGACATGATCAAAGGATGGCTTTGCTGCTTGCTACCAGGGTGAGCTGGGCATCTTTTAACCTTTCTGTGTTTCAGATTCCTTATCTGGAAAATGAGGGAATTGGAGTAAATGATCTACAATGTCCCCAAAGCTCTAATCTAAGACAGACAGACAGACAGGCAGGCAGCAGGCAGGCAGACAGGCAGGTAGACAGGCAGGCAGACAGACAGACGGATAGACAGACGGATGGATAGATGGATAGATAGATAGATAGATAGATAGATAGATAGATAGATAGATAGATAGATAGATAGATAGATAAATAGATAGATAGATAGATAGACAGACAGATGGACAGTCAGGCAGGCAGACAGACAGACAGACAGATAGATAGACGGATAGATAGATGGATAGATAGACAGATTGACAGGCAGGCAGACAGACAGGCAGACGGACGGACAGACAGACAGACAGACAGACAGACAGACAGACAGACAGATAGATAGATAGATAGATAGATAGATAGATAGATAGATAGATAGATACATAGATAGATACATAGATAGATACATAGATAGATAGATACATAGATAGATAGATAGATACATAGATAGATAGATAGATACATAGATAGATAGATAGATAGATAGATAGATAGATAGATATATAGATAGATAGATAGATACATAGATAGATAGATAGACAGGCAAGCAGGCAGGCAGGCATGCAGGCAGACAGGCAGGCAGGCAGGTAGACAGGCAGACAGATAGACAGACAGATAGATGGATAGAGGGATTGGGAAGGAGAAAAGTAAATTCATGGAGCAAAGTAGAAAAGTCCGTAGAGTTGGGAGCAAAACCTTGAGAGAAGTGAGGATGAATGGCCCAGGCATTTTCTTAAGTGTGGGAACTTACCAATGTGAGAAGTGGACCACTGTAGTGGATGGGTCATACCTGGTTCATACCTTGTCATTCCTGGTTCATACCTTGTCATACCTGGTTCAATTAAAGGAACTCAGGGTGTTTAGCCTAGAAAAGAGAGGATTTGGGGGGTGGGGAGGGGGCTGTGATAGCAATCTTGAAGTATTTGAAGAGCTCCCACATGGAAGAGGGATTTGACTTCAAGTCACTTAACCATGGTGTGCCTCAGTTTCCTCGTTTGTAAAATGAGGTGGTTGGACTTGATAGTTTCTAAGGACCATTCCAACATAGATTCTGTGATTCTGGGAAAACACAATCCCTGTCCTGGTCTGATGCTGAAGACAGGGGTGAGCCAGACATACCCAGACTAGCATCAGTGGAGATAATATAAAATTGGTCACAATTACAGAGCCTGGAGCATCATAGGGGTGGACATTAGTTATGAGAGGATTTCGGGATCAAGCTGGGCCATCCTTCCTTGAACCTTCCCTTCATTACCTTCATTCTAGTTTTGATAGTTTGGGACCTGATTGTTCAAGGCCTAGAATGCCAGCATCGGGATGGTAAGAAGTTTGCATGCGATCCTCTAAAGAACAGGATACTCTGTGGTTGATAGGACTCCAAAACCCTTGGAGGTTTTGGCTCAGGGGTGAGGTGTGCAAAGGGAGTCACCTGGATTGAAGTGGGGAGAACCTAGAGCTGGGGCTCATATCACAAACTGCCACATCTCTAGAGAGAAGGGCGCCAAGCCCTCATCCCCTAGACTGGGATGGTGAGTGGCCGTGGAAATGGAGAGGAGGAAAAGGGGACTTCACCTGGAGAAGTCTGAATACAGAACTTGGTGACTAATACAACCAAGGATAAGAGATGCTTTCAAGGGTGATGCCTGGCACCTCGAAGGGAGGGAAGCTTAATTAGGCTTGGCAATTGGCATTTCTAGAGCATTGTGGTAGACCCCAAGATCCAGCAATGCAAGGAGCCTTATGGGTCATCTGGTCTAACTAATGTGGCAGAAACTGCAGCCCAGTTTCCACAGAAGAGCAAGGTGAGTTGCCCAGAGTCACACAGGTAGTGACAGAATCAGGATTTGAACCCAAATCCTCTGACTCCAAATCCAGAAATATTTGTGATCCCCCAGCTCTTTATAAAGGAGCAGCTAGGTGGTACGGTGGATAAGAGTGCTGGGCCTGGAGTCAGAAACTCATCTTCCTGAATTCTAATCCAGCCCCGGACACTTACTAGCTGTGTGACCCTTGGCAAGTCACTTCACCCTGTTTGCCTCAGTTTCCTCATCTGTCAAATGAGCTGGAGAAAGAAATGGCAAATATCCAGCATCTCTGCCAAGAAAACCCCAAATGGGATCACAAAGAGTCTGAAATGACTTAACCATGACAGTTCTTTATAAACACTCTCTGCCCCTCACAACAACTCTGTCAGGTAGGCAACAAGGTTATTATTATCCCCATTTAACAGAGGGGGAAACTGAGATTTAATGAGTGATACTGGGCAAACCATATGACCTCTCTGAGCCTCAGTTTCCTCATCTGTCAAATGGGGATGACATCTATAGTACCTGCCTCGGAGGGCTATCCTAAGGAGCCAGTAAGACAGTCAAAACAGAGGGCTCTGTAACCCTTAAAGCTCTATATCCACATTAGCTATTATTATTCCTGTTATTAGAGCAGTCAGCGGGCCCATAGCCAGTGAGTGGCAGGGCTGGGAAGCCAGGCCTTGACTCCCAAGGCTACTGCTCTCTCCCATAGCAGGGGATGCAAGGCCTCTAGGGTTTGTGTCATAGGGAACTCAGGTGGGGAAGGGGGACAGAGGAACCTCGCCCTGTTGACCCTTTTCCTGGACAGAAGGAAAGAAGCCCAATGGTCTGGCCTCCTGGGGCGGACTGAGCTGACTGAGACAAGGCGAGGGGGAGGTCCGCACTCATCCGGACTCCACAGATAGCAGGAGCACCTGTTTGGATTCTGGGTGTGGGGCCCAGATCTCCCCAGGGAGGAGAGGGCAGGACCATTTCCGGAGGTATCCAAAACTGAGCAAAGCTGCACCAGCAGAGATTCCAATCCGGGACCGAGCCTTCCATCGGCTCTGCCCAGCCGTGTTTTGTTTTATTTTTTAACCCTTTCCGTGATGCCCAGTTCACGCGGGCACAGCACATCCGGGGAGGGAGGCATGATGGGGGCGAAGGTCTGCCCCTTAACAAGCTGGAGAACGCCAGGCACATCATTTCACCTCCGTGGACCTCGGCTCCCTTTCTCTAAAATCAGAAGCCAGGAGTGAATCTCCAAAGTCCTGACCCTAACCCTAAATGCGGTCTAAGCCCTGGGACGCCGGAATTGTTTTCTTGAGCTCAGCTCTCCTGCCCCATCTGCTGGCCCTTTCAGGTACTGACCACCAAGTTGATTTATTGTTCATAAAAATACATCATCAGAGGCATCATGAATTGATATTGATCATGATATCGAAATAATAGTCAATGAATTGATTATTAGCTTCCAAGTCAAGAAGACCTGAGTTCAAATCCAAATTCTGACACACATTGACATATGTGGAGGCAGCTAGGTGGCACAGTGGATAGAGCACCAGCCCTGGATTCAGGAGAACCTGAGTTCAAATCCGGCCTCAGACACATAACACTGACTAGCTGTGTGACCCTGGGCAAGTCACTTAACCCCATTGCCCAACTAGATTTTTTTTAAAAAAAAGACGTATGTGATCTTGGGCAAACCACTGAGTCTCTCCGGGCCCCTCGAGATAGAGCAGGGGGTCTGAGATCCATTGGTAAGTTTCAAGGGTTCCTGGAACTTGGAAAAATATGAAAAGATGACAGTATTCTTTTCACTGTCCTTTGGTCTCCTGCGTATCTCCCTATGCCTCACACCCCCCACCGTGAACTCGATAAGCCAGCGACACTAGACTCTGTCGTTCCTCCAACAAGACGCCTCATCTCCCGGCTCTGGCCGTTTTCACTGGCTGTCCCCCGTGCCTAGAATGTTCCCTCTCCCCATCTCTGCCTCCCACCTCCCTTAGCTTCCTTCGGGTCTCAGTCTAAGATGGACTTTCTTCGAGAAATCTTTGCAGACCCCCTCTCAATGAGAGTGCCTTCCCTCTGGTGAGGACATCCAGTTTGTCTGGTGTGCATCTTATTTGCATGGGGAGTTCCCTGAATGGAAGCTCCCAGACCAGTGACACCCTACCTAGTTATCTTTGCATTGTTGTTATTCATTCTTTTTCAGTCGTGTCTTTGTGATTCTCTTGGAGGTTTTCTTAGCAAAGATAGTTGAAGTAGTTTATCAGTTCATTTTACAGATAAGGAAACCGAGGCAAATAGGGTTAAGTGACTTACCCAGGATCACACATAGGAAGTGTCTGAGGCCAGATTTGAACTCAGAAAGATAAGTCTTCTGACTCCAGGCTGGCACTCTCCACTGTACCACCTATCTGCCCCCCATCTATCTGGAAACATACATGTATACATATATGTACATACATATGTATGTATCATATAAAACTCACATTTATAGAACATTCCTTAGAATAATTCTGTGAAGTTGGACCCCTAGGGCACAGGGCATTCTGGGCACAGGCCCTGTCCCGATCATGGCCAGAGAAACATCTTAGGCATAGAAAGGGGGGCCCGTTGTGGCCTTGCTACCAGACGCTGGGACCAGGAGCCTCGGTGGAGCTGGGGGGTGGCTGTTCTCCCAGGCCTTCCTCTTCCTGCACTGAGGAGTAAGCTTGGGGAGTTCACTTGCCCGACAGGAAGCCCAGGCAGGGAGCAGGGAGAGAAACAGAATCATAGACTGGCAGCTGGAAGGGAGTTGGGGGGCCATCAGATCCAAGCCCTTTATTTTACAGTTGGTTGTGTCCTTGGGGGGCTGCAGGAATGGACCCCCCAAAAAGTAGGCTGGGTAGAAAGGAGATACGGTGGAGGTGGGGAAAATCTTCACCAGATTTTGGGGGGTGGGTGGGGAAGCAGTATTTAGTGAAGGGATTTTGAAACCAGGCTGTCAAAGTCCCATCTACACAAAGGTGAAGTAAAGAGCCACATGATTTGAAGGACATTAGGAAGGGCCCCTGCCCCTCGGAACATCTTCCTATAGCTCATACAACCTTGGGCAAGTCACTGAATCTCTCTGGGCCTCAGTTTCCTCATCTGTGAAATGACATCAACCTAAATGACTCTGAGGTCACATCAAGCTCCAAGTCAACAAGCCAATGTCACCCGAGTCCAAAATTCCACCATTTGTGCTTCATTCCTTTAACTTTGTCAGCCTCTTTTTTGAAATCCCAATTCCGACAGCAGGAGGAAGACAATTGCTCCCTAAGCTGTATGTACAGACAAGGACACTAGAAGATTTTGCTGAAATGAGTGACCCGGTCTATCGAGGATGGGATTTGGGAGGGGGAGGAAGCCCTTAGACTCCCCCTTCACTTTGCCTTCTCTTCCTCCCAGCCAGAGAACAGCTGCGAAGATCACGCCACAGCCGTACCTTCCTGGTGGAATCAGGCATCGGAGAGCTGTGGGCAGAGATGCAGGCAGGTAGGAGGGGGCCAGCCGGGGAAGGGTCTGGGAGTGGGGAGAGACAGGCCACAGGGCTGAGCGAGGGCTGGAAGGTCCCAGCTGGTGAAGGATGAGGGCTGGTCTGCTCTGGGCAGATATGAGTGGAAGCAGGACGGGGATCCCAAGTGTGGAGGGCATTTCTGTTCAATATCAGCTACGCTACCCCTCATTCACACACAGGGCCCAAGCACAGGGCACCATGGGGCTCAGTCCTCACCTCACACCCTGCACTTAGCAAGCTGCCAGCTTAGGCCTGTTGAAAACACAGGCAAACACACACTGGGACGTGGGCTCAGGCTATTGGCTATAATAGACACCGGCTTTTCAGCTCGGTACAGTTGTGCAAACATTTATCCAAAGCACTGACTAGGGGAGAAAAATATACTGGTGAGTTCACCCTCATATATATCCTCCCCAAGGGAGCCTCCACCCGCACACTTCCGTCTCTCCTCCCTTACATCCCTTTCATCCCCCCTAAGGAAACTTCCATCCCTATCTTCCCTATCCCTCATTGAACAACCCCCCACCCCCCTCACAGGGGACCACCTGCCCTAGGGACCAGGAACACTACGAAAGGAGGGTTATACTATGCTAGGGACATACATCTGCACCCACTCTGTGGGAGGGAGAGGCAGGATTCATCCGGAATTCAGATCCTGGGGGATCTCAGGGTTCACAGTCTCAACCACTAGAATCACCAAGGAGATGGGATGGAAGAACCCAGAGACTTAGGATTCCTAGGTGGGACGGGGGTAGGTGACTCTACCTTTCCACAGGTCCGAAGGACTGGAACTTGGACCCAGGCAAGGCAGTGGGCAACAGAGGATGAGGAGAAAGAGGCAGGAGAGACATTTATATTGCAGAACCCTATTGTAGGATGGGAGTGGGGGGCCTTAGAAAGGACAGGAAGTGAAGAAAGCAGGGGAGCCTTTAGGGCAACAGAGCTATAGAGGTAACATCTCAGAGGGACCCCCATCGATGGGTTAGGCTATGGAAGTGGGGACGAGAAACTGAGAACCAGACATTGTCTCTAGCTGTGTGGGTCTTTGTGTGCGTGTGGGTGGGTGGAGGTGGCTGGGGTGTTGTATTGTACCTCCATCACTTTGAAAACAGGAAACCATCACATAAATGATTATTTTTATCTCGGCCAGTCTCCCTAATTCTGTTCCTCTTAACTCCCGTCATTCTAAGCTCTAAGGCATAGGTTCCCAAAGTGGGCAATACTGCCCCCTGGGGGATGCTGGAATGATTGGGGGGGGCAGTAGTAACCTCGGGTGCAATTGCAGGGCATTGAATAAAAATAAGGAGAAGGTGGAAGCACAAGGAAAGAAAAGAAGATAGGAAAATTTTGAAAAACCATTTGTACGTGTTTCATCTGTTGTATAACAGTTAAAGTCATAGCGATTTCGTTATTTTCCAAATAAATACACAAAATGCAAGTTATAACCAATGAGTGGTCAAGTCCACCGATAAGTCTTAACTAGCAAATGTTGACAGGTGGGCGTGTGATGCATTGCCGGGAAGCCCAGCATGCATCAGCAGGAATACATGCAATGACTGTTTGCAATATGATACCATACAGTTACATGAGGCAATATTGCATCTTCAAATTTTCAATGCAGGAAAAAAAACCACAAATGTATAATAAATTATTAAATTGAAGATACATCATTTTTTTAAAAATATATATATTTTTTGAAATGATGCACATTTCAAAAATCGTCAAAGAGCTAAATAAAGTAGATTTCCAGGGGGGTACTGAGAAATTTTTTTAAAGAGGGTGGTAGGTCATATAAGTTCAGGAACCTCTGTTCTAAGATTCCCTCCCAGCTCTGACATTCTGTGCTCTAAGGTTCCTCTTAGCTCTATCATTCTAGGTCCTACGGTTCCTCCCAGCACTAATATTCTGTGCTCTAAGGTTCCTCTTAGCTCTATCATTCTAGGGGATAAGATCCCTCTCATTCTAGGCTCTAAGTTTCCTCTCAGCACTGATGTTCTGTGTTTTAAGGTTCCTCTTAGCTCTATCATTCTAGGCTCTAAGGTCCCTCTCGGTTTGACCTAGGGCTGATTGTTTTCATTTGGTTTGGTTTTGGGGGGAGAGAGATTGAGGGTGAGCAGAGAAGCAGCATGGCGCCTGTGTTTGTGTGCGAATACACATCTGTCTCCATAGGCAGCTGTGTCTGCATGCTGTGTGTCTGTGCCGGCTTGCATGTGTGTCTCTAGGCATGCCTGTATACAGGGGCGTGTTTGGGGGTGTCTGCGCACGTCCGTCCTGTTCTGACACACCTTTCCTGCAGGTGACCGCTACATTGTGGCGGATTGTGGGGGCGGTACCATGGACCTGACCGTGCACCAGATAGAGCAGCCCTTGGGGACCCTCAAGGAACTCTACAAAGCTTCAGGTTAGCGCCATGGAAACCCCAGTCCTCACTCATCTAGTCTCCCTAGTATTGCCCAGTACTTTGGTCACACTGCCCTCTCGTGGCCAAACTATGTACTACAACCACATCCTCACTAGACAGAACGGCTCTTCCTACCCCACCCAAATCCCCTACACTCCCCGCCTGCCTCTGTGATTCCCCCATTCCTGAGCATCTCTTCACCCAATAAGACCAGGCGCTTCTTCAGGACAGAAGCTACATATGTCTCTTCCAGCAGATCAATTGAGGTCAATCAGCTAGCATTTATTAAGCACCTACTGTATCCCAGGCATTGTGCTAGAATAGATGTGGGCAAGAGAGACACAAATGAGGAGCTGACATTCTAATCAGGAAGACTCATCTTCCTGAGTTAAATCTGGTCTCAGACACTTACTGGCTGTGTGACCCTGGGTAAGTCATTTCACCCCGTTTACCTTAATTTCTTCATCTGTAAAATGAGTTGGAGAAGGAAATGGCAAACTGCTCCAGGATCTTTGCCAAGAAGAGTCAGACGTGACTGAAAACAACAAAAGGAGGAATCTTCTACCAGTGAAAGCATGGGTTCAGCCCCTATGCATGTGCATATACATATGCATATGTGCATGCATATACACATGCCACACCATTTAGGGAGGCAGTACACTAGCATTTGGGGGATCAGGAAGAGCTGTACGGAGAAGGTCTGAGCTCAGAACTGAAGAAAATCAAGAAGCCTGTCAGGTCAAGGCATAAGAGATGGCCAGCACAAAGGCAGTAGAAGATTACCGAGCAGAGGCCTGGCGTGACCACACCTGTGCTCAAGGAAGGATTTGTGGGGAGAGGCTTGAGGCAGGGGCTGTGCCTCCTTCTCGGGCCAGAGGCTCCACTACCCAGCACCTCAGTCTCCCTTTCCCTGCGGCCCTTGGAATCAAGCAGATGAGAACACCCTCCCTCAATCTTCCCTCCCCAGGGGGCCCCTATGGGGCAGTTGGGGTGGACCTGGCTTTTGAGCAGCTGCTGGGCAGGATCTTCAGTGACGACTTCATCACCACCTTCAAAACCAAGCGTCCAGCGGCCTGGGTGGACCTGACCATCGCCTTCGAGGCCCGCAAGCGAACGGCCGGGCCCCACCGCGCCAGTCCCCTCAACATCTCCCTGCCCTTCTCCTTCATCGACTTCTACCGCAAGCAGCGGGGTCACAACGTGGAGACAGCCTTGCGCAAGAGCAGGTGGGGCCAGGGGCCCAGGAGGCCGTTACCTCCTCACCCTGGGCACAGCTGAAGGCAGGGGACGAGGGAAGAGTTGGAAATGTGCTCAGAATCTTGGGGAAAAGGTAGAGAGCGAAGAGGGAAGGAGAAGGAGGAGTAGCAGGCTGGTCACTGGATTTAATCAGGAACTGGGTTCTGATCCCAGCTCTGCCACCTGTGACCTTGGGTAAATCACAGACCCTCTGGGGCCTCAGTTTATCATTCTGTAAAACAAGGTTCGGCTAGCTCCTTTAAGCTCCCACTCAGCTTAGACCTCTACTTCTGTGATCCTAAATGACAGGCAGGCGGGGGGTCGGCCTCAGAATTGGGTAGAGGTGACTGATGAAGACTATGGGGTCGCCTTTGTGGGAGCCAACCCTCTCCCCATGCCCACTCCCCCTCACGCTCCCCTAAGTCAGCTGCTGCAGTGGCAGACAAAGCGACGACTCGGTGCCATCTATCTCGCTTCCCAGGGTCAGGGTCTGGGTGGGCTCCCACGGAAAGGCTGGGTACAAGAAGGCCCCCTCTGTCCCCTGGAATGGCGTCCCCCTCACGCTGGCATCATCCTTCCCCTGCAGTGTGAACTTTGTGAAGTGGTCCTCCCAGGGCATGCTGAGGATGTCCTGCGAAGCCATGAATGAGCTGTTCCGGCCCACCGTCAGCCAGATCATCAAGCACATTGGTGAGAGGGGCACGGGGGCCTCAGAAGCTGAACCAGAAAGGGGACTGGCTTTTTTGTTTTTTCTGGCCTCAAACAAAAGGGAATTGTGGTATGGTGAAATAGTGCTGGCTTAGAAATGCAGGAAACCTGGGTGACCCTGGACAAGCCATCTTCCTACTATCTGGGATGGTTTTCAGATTAGTAAAATGGAAAAGGCTGGACTAGATGGGCGTAACTAAGGCGACGGTCCCTTCATTATGTTCTGAGATGCTTTCTACAGTCTGTGCACTAGGGCCCTTCCAGCATTAACATCCCATGTTCTAGGGACCCTGCCGGGTCTGGCCTTCTGTAGACTAAGGTTCTGTCCTGATTGTACATTCTATGACCGAAGTCAGTTCTCAGCTAGCATTTATTAAGCACCTACTGTGTGCCAAGCACTGGGATTCAAAGACAGGCAAAAACTATGGGCACTTTCAAGGAGTTCACAATCTAATGGCCAGCATGGACACCTGGTCCTAAGGGGCCTCTCAGCTTTCAGATTCTATGTTCTAATATTCCTTCTAGCTTTGAGCTGCTACATTTTAAAGTACCTTCCTGATACCACACTGTAATACCTGACATTCTTTTTCTTAAGAGCCCTCTCAACTCTGACATCCCCTGTTCTAAGGCCCCTCCCACCCAGCTCTGACAGTCCCTGTTCTAAGGCCCTCCCACCCAGCTCTGACAGTCCCTGTTCTAAGGCCCTCCCACCCGGCTCTGACGGTCCCTGTTCTAAGGCCCTCCCACCCGGCTCTGACGGTCCCTGTTCTAAGGCCCTCCCACCCGGCTCTGACGGTCCCTGTTCTAAGGCCCTCCCACCCAGCTCTGACGGTCCCTGTTCTAAGGCCCTCCCACCCGGCTCTGACGTTCTACTTTACTCCTTTACTTCCATTCCCCATCCTGCCTTAGCATCTTTGTCTGCCTTGGCCCACAAAGCAGTCACTCCTATTTGAGCCCACACCTGGAGAATCCAGCACCAAGGGCTAATGTTTCCCAGTGTCCAAACAGAGCAAAGCAGAGGGTGATCCCCAAGCCACCAGGCCCAGACTCTAGAAGGCTGCCAGCTGCTTTGCATTGCCCGGGCAGAGGGAAAGGAAAGGCATTGGGGGGGGGGGTGAGAGTTCAGGGTCTCAGCTCTCTCTTCTCCCCCCAGATGAGCTGCTGGCCCGCCCAGAGGTGCAGGGGGTGAAGTTTTTGTTCCTCGTGGGGGGCTTCGCCGAATCAGCCGTGCTCCAACATGCGGTGCAGGAGGCCTTCACCGGCCGAGGCCTGCGGGTCATCATCCCTCAGGACGTGGGCCTGACCATCCTGAAGGGCGCCGTGCTGTTCGGCCTGGACCCTGGCGTGGTCCGAGTGCGCCGCTCACCGCTCACCTACGGCGTCGGGGTCCTTAACAAGTTCGTGGCTGGCCGCCACCCCGCAGAAAAGCTGCTGGTCAAGGACGGCAAGAGCTGGTGCACCGACGTCTTTGAGCGCTTTGTGGCGGCCGACCAGTCCGTGGCCCTGGGAGAGGTGGTTCAGCGCAGCTACTGCCCAGCCAGGCCTGGCCAGCACCGCATCCTCATCAACATCTACTGCTGCGCGGCCGAGGACGTGCAGTACATCACCGACCCTGGCGTGCGCAAGTGTGGGGCCATCAGCCTCGAGCTGGCCCCTGCCCCTCCAGGGGCAACTCCCACCCGCCGGGAGATTCGGGCCTCTATGCAGTTTGGGGACACGGAGATCAAGGTCACCGCTGTGGACGTCAGCACTTCCCGGACTGTGCGAGCCACCATCGACTTCCTCTCCAATTGAGGGCAGGGAGGGGAAAGAGGCTTAGCCGTGGGCCAATTCTCCCTTCAACATCTCATGTTCCCCCCTCTGCCCACACCTCCACCTTCTCCCCCAAGTGCCCTCCAACAACCCCCATCCCTTCTCCCAGTCTTGTTTCTTGAGACCCATCCTCCAGATTTCTACCTTCTCTCCTCTCCTCTTCTTCCTTTCCCTCCCCTACCTGTTCATTTCACTTTCCCCCTATCCAGCCCACGTTCTTCCATTCCCTCTTTTTAGGCTTGGACTCCACCCTTCCACAGCCCCAAATTCTGCCTTCATCTCACTGTGCTGTACTTGGGCTGGGGATGAAAAGAGGGACCTTGAAAAACTTCCTAAAGTGCAGCACAAGGACTTAAGACCAATGGAAAGAGCACTACTGGGCTAACTTGGGGTCCTTACCCCCCTCTTGGTGGGCTGAGACTGCTCTCCCCACCACTCCACCCCAGGGAGTTTGCACGGGCTTTCCCGCTGACAGGCAGCCCTTGAGAAGGTGCCAGAGGGTGCCCAGTGAAGAAGGCAAGAATTTGGTGAGGGTCCTCCCAAAATCGTGCTGGGGGGAAGCCCTGGAATTCATTCCTGGGTAGGCCAAACTGGCAAGAGTCACCCCTACTGCCCACAGAAGAGGGTTGAATGGGAGGGGGAGATCCCCAGCATCCCAATCCCCCACCCTGTCCACAGAATCATAGAACGCTGAAGCTAGAAAGGGCTTTAGAGATCACCCAGCCCATCTAAACCACAGGGGAGACTGAGGCCCAGAAAGGTTAAGCTACATGTCTGTGGGTCACTCAGTAAGCAAGGGACAGAGATGAGGTTCAAACTCTGCTCTCTTCCCCCTGCACCACTCTTTCCTATATAGCTCAGTATGCTTCGCTTTGTCTTACTGGGAAAAGGGGTGCAGGTAAATTCAGATTCTATTTTTATAGCTTAAACCCGTCCTCCAGCTTGGACCTATCCTGCCGCGGCTTAGAGCTGAGAGTGGGAAATGGAGCAAGGGGAGATTCAATGATGCTCGCTTTGGGGGGATGGCATAGCCCCGTGTCCTTTGACCAGCAAGGCCCTAGGGAACAAAGAATTCTACACAGCACTTAGTGACTTCTCTGGCTTACCAGGCAGAACGCTGGAATGGAGACCTCGTTGACCCCTGGGGGGTCCTGCCACCTAAGGGGGATGACAGAAGCCATGCATACAAGGGACTGATGGACACAGGCCAGTGACGCACAGAAAGGGGCTGAGACCAATAAAGCCCCGACTCGGTAGTGTGAAGAGTGTAAGCCCATCTCACCGGGTAGGGTCTGGAAATATTGGACAATGGCAGTACTTGACAAGTAGGGGAGGGGAGTACTACATTCAGTTTTCACTAACAGGGTAATATTACTAGTCAGAAGTATATTACTAGGGTAACCAAGTTACTGGCAGGTATATAACTAGGCGGGATAGTTACTAGCGGGGTAAGGTACTAACGGGGTGGTATTTCTGACCCCTGGACATAATGAGAACAATGATTCCTCAAGAGGTTAGTCTAACAATCCATACAGGAAAAACCAAATGGATGAAAAATGCACATTGTCCAGATTGTGACACGTGGTTGTACCGACAGTCTGCTGAGTAAGGACGTCAGTACATCACTGACGATGGACAGCAGAGGAACATGTGGAACCGGAGGAAAACAGGCAGCATTGTTTTGGAAACTGCTCAGCACTTTCCACAATCTCCACTGAGACCCAATTTTCTTTTTTTTTCCTTTTTTTTTTTTTAAAGGCAATTGGGGTTAAGTGACTTGCCCATGGTCACACAGCTAGGAAGTGTCAAGTGTTTGGTCTGAGGTCCTCCTGACTTCAGGGCCAGTGCTCTATCCACTGCACCACCCAGCTGCCCCCGAGACCCAACTTTCTGACATAAATGTTCTCCTGGTGATGGCGGAGGCTCTCAAGAGATTGCAAGTTATGGGTGATGCCAAAGGCCTCAATGAGGCGAATGGGGAGATACGAGTAAGCTGCGCCATGTTTGCAATGATGACCTCCTTGGGAACATTTGTGAAGGGGGTGTATGACTGGGTGGTCAGGGAGCCTACGGGAAGGAGAGCAGATGGACTGAGAATGTTTGAAGACACAGAAGTGGTTCCTTCCACATTAGGTGGACCTTTGGCCACCTGTGGCAAGACACAGATGAAAATCACACCGGATGGAGTCATGGATGGGTTGTGAGCTGCAGTGGCCAAGGAGTACCCGCAGTGATGAGATCACAGCTCTGCTGAGCAGGGATGGATGTGCTAGCCAGAGTAATTACCAGGAGTCAGGTTATTAGCAGGGTGATGTTAGTAGTAGGGAAAATGCCATCGTAGGGTCATGTTATTAGACAGGCAATGTTACTAACAGAGCAACTTACTGGAGTACTGTCAGCAGTCAAGTATGTTACTGTCTGCGGTAGTGTTACTAAAGTCATTGTCAGCAAGGTGAGGACCCTGGGCAGGGGGAGGAGTGGGGAATATTTCTTGCATAGTTCAAGCAGGTCTCGGAGAAATTTGTCATTTCCCTGCAGTAAAAAGTCCATGAAGGATTTCTTCTAGGGTCTAAGCAGATCCCCGCCACCCCCCAAGGGGAACAAAGACCATCCCCACCCCCAGGTAGAGCGGGATGGTGTTCTAACTGGGGAGGGGCCTCTGGGGTTGCTGTCAGAGAAAGCCACATTCTTAATAAAGCATTTATGCCCAAGGTCATGGCCTGTCAGGGAGATGAGGGGAGTGTGGGGGGCTGGACAGACCCTGGGATTGGGCTGTCAATCCATCATCTCCAGTCCCCACAGGCTGAAGCCCTGGAATAGGATTATGGGGGATTGGGTGTCCTGGAAAGGATAATGGGGCTTCCTTGGGGAGAAAAGGAGACAGCTGCTAGGGAGATGAAATACAATGCTTAGGTCATTACTCCAGCTACCGAAGATGACCATTCCTACAAACCTCTACCTCATGCTGGTAGCATGTCGGCTGAAATCCCCTGGGAAGGTGATCCTAATCCCAAGATTGTTTTGTGGAGGGTGGGGTGAGGAGGTGGGTGAGGTGGCCTGGATATACACAGCTGAAAGGATATGCTAAAGACAATTTTGAGGAAGATATCAGATGAAAGTTACATGAAGGGGGCAGAAAAATTAGCCTCTCCCCTTCAGTACCAATCCTAAGATCATCAAATCAGAGCTGTCTCAGGCCCACAGGGGTCATAAAATCATGGATTTACAGCCAGAAAGGAGCTGAGGCCACCATCAGGTCTTCCCCACCACCTTTTGTCAGATCAGTAAACTGAGGCACTGCGTCATGCAGCTAAGGTTTGAAGCAGGTCTTCATGTCACCAAGTCCAGCACCTGATTACGCTATAGCCCAACCTTTTCACTTTGCAGATGAGCAAACAGTGCAAAGGATTTGCCCAAACTTAGTGGGAGCGAGGGATTGGAACCCAGAGCCCAGCTGGAGTCCCCCCACAACCCAATTCTGGGGGATGTTTTGGTTCATGCCTTCTCAAAATGCCTCAAATGGCCTGCTGCCTTGAGCGGGTGGGCTCCATCTCTGGAGGTCTAAAAGCAACAGTGGATTCTTACCCAGACCCACCAAGGTCACATGACTCCTGGGGTCACTCATTAGGACCTGAGGCAGGAGGGACGACCTTCTGTCCCCATTCCCATCTCTTCCCCTTGGACAACAGCCAGGGATTCAGTCTGGTCTCCGCAGAAACTTGTTTTTCTCTTTTAATTTCTTTGGGCTTTCATCCCATCACTTAGAAAAACAAACCAACACACACAGTACAGGCGCGCGCATGTGGGCACGCAAGGTGGAGGTTGGCGCAGGACCCTCCCTCCGGTGCCCAGCCTCCTTCCACAGCCCCGCCCCCACCCTGGCCAATTTGGGGGGGGGGGGTTGAATGGCTAAAGCAGCAGACAGACTACAGCAACAGCAATGATATAGATAGGTGCAAGCCTGGAGGGTGGGCGTCTCCTGCTCTATGGCTTAGGAATCGAGGCCAGGGAAAGGCTGACTGCACAGGGGAGGGAGAAACCCTCAGGCAATTACAAGGGCAGGGTATGGAGGACGGAGGCCCCTAGGGCTTCTCTGATACACTAGACCCTGCCTGCCCCCAGTCCCTTCCCTTCCCCACACTGTAATGGCTGCCTTCACGCCAGGCAGACTGAGACACAGAGAAGAGGCCTCCCTTACCCTTCTCCCCTGGTTCTGGAAGCAGGATTCCATCCAGTCACTGAAGCACAATAGAAGGGAGAAAGCAGGGGGTGCCGGCACAGGATAGAAGTAGGCAGCCCAGATAAAAGAACCTGCCTACCCAGATACGAACCTCCAGCCCCCCTCACTCATCCACCACCCACCCCAGACCCTGGGCCCTGCAAGGGGCAGCAGGCAACACAGACTGAGACAAATCTGGCTGGAATTTAAGGCTGAAGGGATGAGGGGCCCTACCCCAAGACCTTCCTGGCTCGGGGAAGGGAGACCCCAGAGGTTCCTCCCCACCCTGGCCACCGGCCCTTCCTGGTCCTCTCTCCCCCTTCCAAGTAGCAAAGCATCCAGTCCAGGGACAGAAAGGAGACCCCCAAACAGCTGCTCCATCAGGGCGGGTGGGCACAGGGAAGGAGCATGGGAGCGGAGGGAGGCAGGATGGGGATGCTTAGTCGAAGCCACGCCAGTCGCTGTGTTCCGAGTCATACTCCAGCTCTGCACCCACACAGCGCACCCCATCCAAGAGCATTGGGGTGCCGTGGTGCCGGTCTGAAAACAGAGAAGACAGGGGTTAGCTCCAGCCTCTCTTCAGCAGTACTAGAGCAATGGGCAATTTACTCCCATTTTACAGATGAGCAAAGGGAGGGGCTTGGAGATTAAGCAATTTTCCCCATGAGCACCCTACCCTCTACTACACTGTCCTAATTCTATATTCTCATCCTGCACAGACTGCCAGGCCAAGGCAGTGAGCACCATCTGCTTCAACCAAATCCCTTCATTTTCAATGAGAGGACGCAGGCACAAGGCCCTGGACTTGGGGTCTGTCCAAGAGCCTGGTTTCAAATCCAGCCCCCTATCTACGTCCTGCACGTGCGACCCTGGACAAGTCATGATGGGCCTCAGTTTCCTCATCTGTAAAACAAGTGGGGTTGAACTGACAGCCAATGAGGTCTCTAGATCTAGCATTTTATATAAAGCACTTTGTAAACCTCAGAGTCTCATCTAAAAGGCAGCTATTGTGACACTAGTTTTCAGAAGACGAAACGGAGGGATCCAGGAGTTTGCCCAAGGTGACGTTGTCAGAGTGGCACAGACAGGACCTGACCCAGCTCTTCCGACTCCCAAGGCCAGGGTTCTCCTGCTCCCCCAAGTTCCTGCCACAATACGACTGGCCCTAGAGACAATGGGCATGACAGAGAAGGAAGCCAGCTAGATTTGAGGTCCAAGGCCCTGGGTTCGAATCTCAACTCTGCCATTTCTTCCCATGGGCCTCAGCTTCCCCATCAGCAAGGTGAAAGGGCTGCTCCAGATAACCTCTGAGGTCTCCTCCAGCCGTGGGCCCCCAGCACCTTCCACACAAGTACTTGGGTTTGCGCCCAGCTCATTCTCCAAGGCCCCCCACCTTCCCTAAAATCTTCCTGGAACTGCTCCCCGTGGCTCATCCTCACTCAGTCACCACCATCCATCAGGGCTCCGTAAAGCAAACCACGAGGGACCCTCGGGGCCACCGGCTCCAAGCCCCTCTTTTACAGCCCAGAGGGGCTGCTCCAGGTCTCCAAAAAGCCAGCCTTCTCTTCCCTGCCCCGGGGGGAGACGGGACTTCCCAGAGGCTACCACACCCCACACCACAATGGGAAACAAAGGGAAAGGGAAAGACGGATGGAGAGAGATGAAGCCGGGGAAACGACACCCCTCTCCTCCTCCTCCCAAGCTTTCTGGGAAAGGAAAAATCCCCTCAAATCCAGGAGCTACCAGCGACTGGTGGTCACCACCCTCAGCAGCCAGCAGAGGGTGCAGGGGAGTTGGTACAAAGGCAGATACAAGCACCCCATGCCTTACAACCTGGAGCTCCTCGGGGATCTTATGCGGCCAGGCACCCCTCAGAGGGGAAGCTGCTTGTCTTTGGGGTCCCTTCCAGCTCCACCGCTTGCTATGATACAGCCCCTGCCTTTTACTGACAAAGAAACTGACGCTTCGGAGGGCAAATGACCTGCTTGCCAAGGTCTCACACACAAGCAGTGAAAAAAAAAAACTGGGGTACGACACGGTCCTGACCCAGATCCAGTGTGCTTCCGTGGTGCCACAGTTTAACGGTGTCCCTGGAGAGGCAGGCTGTCTCTTACTGGGCTATGAACAGCTATGGGACTCAGCCCCAAGATCCTACCGTCGCCCCCCCAAGCTGCCCCGCCCAGCGCCGCTACCCCTTCTGACCCTGGGTTCCGGCCCAACAAACTGCCCCCCTCCTCTGGCGAGGCACTGCCTCAGCCACCTCTAAACCCCCCTCCTTGGGTCGGCACTAGGTTCTGTTATTGCTTCCGACTGGGGCACCCCTCCCCTATTAGACCAGAGGCTCGTTGAGGGCAGGAACCAAAGGGCCCTCCTAAAGACAGAGCTCGGGTCCCTCCACCGAGCCGTCAGACTGAGGAGTCCAGACCCAGACTGAGGAATCCAGAGCCGGGTTCTCAGGACTCCTCCCTCAGCCTCTCCCCACCCCAGCAGGTGCTCTGTCCGTGGTCCTGGACGCCCCTTCTTCCTCACCCATGACTCTGGCCTGCAGCACCACTCGGACAGTGGCATTGTCACTGGTC